GTGCAATAAAAGGCTTGTGACCAAATTGAGTTAAAATTTTGGAAATGGATTGGATACCCAATCAGAACTCAAAGTAAAAACAAGCCAACTTCTCAGGCGCAATCAAATGTGTGTGACCAAATCGTGTTTGGTTTTAGGAAACAGATCGGATAGCCAATGAAAACTCAAAGTGAAAACAAGCAAATTGCTTCATGTGCAGTCAAACGCATGTGACCAAATCGTGTTTGGTTTTAGGAAACAGATCAGATGAAAATTACTGTAAATTAAAGGTTAGGTTGCAAACACAAAACAAACTTAAAACTGATGTTTCTCTGTTGTTTACCCTTTGTTTCTCTCTGTTTGTAGATATCCAAGATTCCCAAGTGACTTCACAGGTGGGTAACGTTGTCCTACATTTAACTAAATACAAGAAAAAACCAGAAAGAAAATAGTTTTTCTGACTTGCTTCTCTCATTCATTTTTTATTTCCTTTTCTCTAAATTTAACCCTTTCACTCTCATTCCTGAGAGCTGTTACATAATTCTCCTTTTTACTTATTTTTAACCCTTTAATTCCTAGATCAAATTTGTAATTTTCCTTACTGTCAACCATGCAGTTCTTATGATGTTAGTTCAGATAATTTAATATTGGATCAACTAATTATCCCTAAATTGATTTTTCCTTTATTCTCTTCACTTATCTGATAGATATTGTAATGATATTGTAAGTAGAAATTCTATCTTGGTCTCTCATGGGAGTTAAAGGGCTAATTTCTTATGTAGTCCAGTTTGTAAATTTGTTGGCTGTCATAATTGGTTTGGTGTTAGTCTATATTAGGACAAGTTACAGTTAATTTAATCACCTGGGGGTGGGGTGGGTGAAAGTATCTAGAGATAAAAGGACCGCTTAGAAACAGGTTACAGGCTGAAAATTGTCCTGTTTATTTGCACTGTCAGTCTATAACACAGGTAGCCCAAGCTGCAATTTAGGGCCAATTTACTCGAAATTACAAGCAGACAGTTGATGTACGAACATTCATATTTCTGCTTTAATTTTAAAATATGCTCAGTGTCTTTTTGATGTTCTTTATTTCCCCTGAACGAGTTTCATCAAGTTGCATCTAGTTTCAGCTACCTTCCCCCACCATGATAAAACAGTGGAATGGTCGGTGACTAAAGCCATAAAGCAACTTAGGAGGGATCCATTCCACAACAAATATTTTCCCTGAAATATTCACTAAATCAAATGCAGCCCACACACTTGGCTATAGGAACTGTTTATTGAAATGCAATTGTTATTTTAAAAAAAAAATTTATGCTTCCTATTGGTAATCACTGTGAGAGATGCAGTGGCTAATGGTTAGTGTGCTGAACTTTCTGTCCAGAGGTCTGGACTCGAGACTTTGGTTGGTCAATGTGTTGTAATTGGGCAAAGACTCAACTCTTGCAGTGCATCTCCGCTCAGCAGAAGCCTGATGAAAGGCTGGGGGTAACTATGCAATGGACTAGCATCCCATCCAGGGGGGAGTAGTAATACTCCTAGCCATGAAACCTGGATGAACTCTGGCTGGGTGGGCCATGTGACTCAAATACAGACTTAAACTACCTGTATCAGCTGTCAGCCTAGCTGATCTTCAGTGATACCATGGCAAAATAAAGCCTAGCTACCTGTCGTATCAATAGGGAGGGGCAGGAAGGGAGAATAAACTCGCCCAGGGAGGAACAACAAGAAGACACACCAAGTGTTTTGAAAAGTTTTATTGAAGAAAAATGCGAGTGTTCAGATCTCTCCATATAATATTGAGTAAATTGGCATTATTCTGCAGCTTGGGACACCTGTGGTCTTAAGTCTCTGTAACAGTTGTCTGTCTGGGTCTTGTGTGCTCAAAAAATTTTGCAAACTTTAGCTTTCCATTTTTCATTTCAGCTTACTGTTGAGTGTCAAAAGCGGATGATTCATGGATGCTTTCTTCTAAAATTATTGGAAAAGCTCTGAAATCTCGCGATGAATTAATAGCAATAATATGTAATGATAGAATGTTAATTTATCCTGTAATTATTAATAATCGAGTGACAAATGTTTCTGTACATTTTAGTTTGTAAATTTCAAATTGTTCATTTAACAGGCTTATTTATTTACTGGTCTTTCTGTTTTATTCAAGAAATGGTTATATGTAAAATTCAAATGCTCAGAATATTGTTCCTCAATTTTCCATCTCATTTTTTTTATATTCTATACTAAACACAGATGTGGTGTTGACGTGCATATTTTGTGTTTCTTAGAATAGTCAAATAAGAGAAATATTCCGACTTTCTTAAAACTTAGTAACTTGTGTCTATTTTAGGTGCTTTGTGCAACTTCTCTGTGTCTTCATTTGCAATTTGTGCTATTTTCTTCATCCCAATTCTTCTTTAATCCCTTTTGGTTTATTCTTGCGTCTTTGTCGTTGTCCTTCCTTAAACTGCTATGAAAGGGGTTTGAAATGAAAAAAGTCTCCTAATGAGAAAATTTAAAAACTCCACGCTATTTCCTTTATTTGTCCACCCATAGTCCCCTCACGGAAGCCAGGAAAATGCCGTCAACAACAACAACAAAATACCTCGATTTTAAAAATGTCAACCCCTATTTCCTCAGCAAATTAATCTCGATGCTAAACCTCGTGCGCCCGCGTTATTGACCGCATACCTGTGACGTAGCTTTTTGTTATTTAGCTTTGTCCATCTAGTTATATTCTGTGCGAAGGGCTATGTATACCACATTTTTACACCTGAGAGCGCAATTAATTGGACTTGACGTAGCCAAAATGTGTATTCGCCATCCATGGTATTGTGAGAGGGTAGAGGAGGAAGCTAAGCCAGACTAATTCTTCCAAGGAAATCTATGAAGTAAGATATTTTCTCAAGCATGTTTCTTTGGCATCATCTTCGCAGCGCGCTTACCTAGCGCTTTTTCAGACTCCGCCGCACCCATCGAAGGGAGTAGTGCGCTCTCTAGGGGGTTGACTATAGGGAAAATTGCTGAGTCATGATCATGTACGGATCCCACCCAAAACACGACGTGTTTAGTCCATTTAATCCAGACCAGGAGAATCGTGCATCGCGCTTTCTTCATCCCATTTATTTTCTAACTCTTCAGTAATTCTGTTGAACAGGTCCTTTTCTTCTTCAGAGGCTTGCTTGACAGACAATTAATTGTTGATAAGGAGAAGTTCAAATTCATTGCCGAAATTTAATTTTGGTAGAAAGATTTCTTCATCATGTCTCGTTTTCATTATTAATTAAGCTTTTAGTTTATTACACATTCGTTTTCGAGAGGAATGTCGAAGGGTCTTGGATGGTTTTGTTGATGAGATCTGCATCTGAGGCAATCAAGGAACAGTGCCATTTAATTTTCCTAGCTTGATCAGGTCGCGAGTTTCTCAGCTCGTCTCTTCACTTGGTCCTTCTGTCGATTGTGATAACAAACAGAAAATGGAAAAGCGGTAGAGAACTGGGACTCAATGACAAAACTGTTGCGTGTAGGGTGGGTTAAACAAAGAAACCTTGTTCAATTTACTCGTCCACATAGTATATTCTTCTTCAGCCCAATCTTTTCCAAGTTCAAATCAACCGCTATCTCTCCCCAAGAGTTTTTGTGATCCAAGAAGGGATGGAAGCTTTGATATAAACGGTTTTTAACTCTGTTCCTGTCATGTCCCCCACGATTGTTTTTCTTTCTTCGTATTGAAACAGAAGTAACAGCAACGGTAAAGCAAGGTTAAAACGGCGGAAAACGCCGGAAACCACAACAAACACACAAGATGTGAGTAATTTCTATTGATTTTGTGGGTTAAATGTTCATATTTCGAAATTTTTATCGTTGTAAATCGACCATGTTTCATTCCCCAAACTATTCCTTGTAACGTATTCAAATTCTCAACGGTTCCTCTCGCAACTTAACACCGTGTCACACAACGCGTGATGCTCTTATAAATTTTAATTCATAATGGTAATAGTACTAATTGGAGTCCAATGCAGTCTGTAATCATACGAGTGATTAACCAAATCAGACAACAGCGAAGCAAGAGTTTGATTTGTTAATCACTGGTATGATTACAGTTATAATAATAACCATTACAACTTCTGCAAATGTGATTGGTGCAGCAGCTGCTTAATTTTTCACTAATCATTCTGTAGAGTTGTAATTGGACAGTGTAATTGTACAGTTGGCTGTAACTGGACACCTGTAATCAGACAAAATTTGGGAATTTTGTTATAGTTTTCAGTGGCAGATCCAGACCTTGAGCTAAAGAGGAGAGCCCAGTTTCCCACTGCTTGCTTTGGTGGCTTTCTTTGGTGGCTTTCCTTCCTTCTGCAATTCTTTTTTTTCACCCAAAATAAGGGGGAGCCTGGGCCCCCTCCTCTGCTAGTGTCAAGGCGTGAGCCTGGGGCGCTTGTACTTTTGTATATTTTTATCTGTGCCGTTTAAAGCCTAGTTTTATGGGAACTGAACAGGAACTGACAGCTAGTAAATATTCAACTCAGCATGCTTTGGTTGAACTATTTCTTATGTTTGCTAATTACAGCAAAAGGTAAGAAGGTGTTTTTAACTCTCTGTTTCACTATGCTTCAATCAGAACAGACTTAGTTGCTACATGATGAACTCGCACCTAGTATAGACGAAATTTTCACTAGTTGACTGTTTATCACATTTCTATGGCAGAAGCCAGATGAATGGTCTTCAAAATCTTCAAACTTTAAAGTAGTTTAGCCGTCGTTCATCTGACTATCAAGCGTGTCGGTATTCAATGGATGACTGCCCACAATTAGTTATTTGAAGCAGAACCATTGAACTGTTTCCAGCTATCATGCGCTTTCCCACCGATCAAAAGTCAGTTTGGCCTCACAAAAGTGCAAACTGACATTGGTGTACTGAGATTTAAGAATGAATAATCACATTTTGTAAACCTGTTTTTTCCTTGTCAGCAACAGTCCAATTGAATAACACTGGAATGTTCCACGACACAGCTAATGGCAAGTCCACAAGAATCTGTAAGATTTTCATTGCATTAAGAACTTTTGACTTAAGAATTAAGTGATGGTATGATGGTAGTCTCTTACTAATTTAGAAAAATTTGAAAAATTTTGAACAGATATAATTTTGAGACAAAGAAAAATCAATATTTCTTGATCGTAGGAATCCATGCCTGTGGAATTTCTATTCCACTGTCCCTGTTGATATTGTTAGGGATAATCACCTCTTTGACCCTGTGTGTGTATCAGTGAGTGTTAAGATATGATACTTTCAAACAAAACAAAACAGTTCACGAAAGAAGACAGTTGTTGAGTCAAGTGGCAAAAATATCTTCAGCCATCTTGCCTTTCATTGTTTATTTCATAATAAATCTTTGTTTTGTTCAATGTCTTGTTGATTTGTTCTCTTGTATTTCTTAATTCATATGTCAGCAGCACTGGAGCATATACATGTTGATTCTAGTGTTAATAATGTGACGGTTGGTGGTAAGTACTCTTGTCTTTAATTTATGACACCAGGAAATTGTGATTAATTCCATTGACACCCTCATCATAACGTGAATGCAAACTGGGTGGCTCTCCTCTGTCAAATGATAGATATTATTATACATTAGACTTACTAAAACAAGTCTGATTGGTTGATAGCATTCAATTAATATACAGTTTAGTGTGTGAAGTTGACAGGATAACCTGATATCTGCAGTTGATATTGGATTTATCATATACATGTCTGCCTAGTTTCCAAGCCTCTTGTCTGTGTAGTGTTTTCAAACTTTTGTAAACTCAGAGAGAAGTATCTTCTTCAGCAGACTGTTTAAAAAATGCATAATAAAACAATTATTGACATTGGTTTTTGCATGATATCAAGAATTGTTAAACATCATGTCTGTGTCTTCTATTATAACTCAAAATATCATGTATTAATTGCTTAATACTAGCTGATTAGAAAATTAGAAAAAACTGAAATACATCAATGGTTGAAGACAATCTTAGTATAATAACTTGTTATCCCACTGCTCTATCTTATTAGCATTTCTTATGAGGTGGGATAAAAAAGTGTATTATGTGAAGCCCACCAGTTAAACATGTTTTTTTTTTACATTTCAAAATAACCAACTGTCCAATATTGCTTGATGTTTGTACTCTATTTGCGCCTTTTTGTTACTCTCTTTGATGTATTTGGATGATAAAGAAATATAACAACAACTACAAGTTTATCCATACCAAATTCTTCTACTCAACCAAATTCTTTGAATTAAGAATTTTATGTCAGGCAGTAAGGAGAATTACTAATGAGATATTGGGAGTGAAAGGGTTAAGATTAATTGCTGATCATAATAATTTTTCTCTCAACAGTGCCTCCATTTGGAAATGTTACCATTAAATGGTCATTTGGACAACATAATATTGAACGCATTGTAATGGCACTCAACAGTGCTTCCAAAGTTATTGGGAAATTTCATAATGGAGAATACCGCTGTTACAAGGGTGGCTTCCTCACAGAAACAGAATGTCAGGAACACTACTCACTGACTGTGGATGCATCTGGTGACATAATTATTGCAATGAGAAATATCTCACATCCATATTTTGGAAGCTACTTAATATCTGTTTACCGTGGACTAGATGACAAAATAGACACATTATGGATTATAGTCTGTAAGAAAGGTAAGCTGAGTACTTTCTGCTCTACTCTTGAATACTTACTATGTGCAGTATCCAGAGGGTGTAACATTACCATCATCACCGGCTTACTGTAATTTGTGAAGGAAACGAAACAAAATGAAAACTGCAAATCTCCCCTATGTTTGTGAATAATTCAATGCATCATTTAAGCCATAGGGCACAAAAGTTATTTGAATTATTAGTTGACACTGTAGCTGTACTTTCTATAAGGTGTAATCAAAGTATGTTGTCGATGAATAATTTGAATGCGTGACATGACGCTTACCTGACTGGAAATGCACATGGAAAGTGTCGCAGCATGTTTCTGGATGAAATATCGTGGTTGCTGGGAAAATGTAACTAACCCAAGCTCTTTTATTTTCTTGAGTCTCAGAATAATTTTTTTTTTCACAAATTACAGATTTCTATTTTTTAAATCATTAGCATATTTCAATTTTGCAAATTACAGATTTCTATAAATTAGGGGTATGTTCTGTTTTGTCTTTGGTTAAGATAGACAATATCCTTCATTCAGAGTGAGGTGTCAATGATATATTTTGGTCATTTTTACCCCTTTAGAAATCTGTGTAAAGGAGATAGTAGACCCAAGCTGCCTTTTAGCAATTTTGTTTATGCACACAAAATGGTGCAGTAGTTACATGATTATGTTTTCATTTTTCTTTCAGCAGGAACAGCAGCACCAATGAGCACAGTTATTTCATCCACAGGTACTATACAAGAAAGTGATACAGAGATTGTGATAAACTATCATATAACTGCTATATACTAGCTACCAGTGAAGAAATTCTACCAGTTGAGGATAAATGGATTGTTCACTTAAGGCAAACAGAAAAGAGTGTTATGTAAAGCTAGCCCCATTTTGTGATACCTTAATCAGTCTGCAGAAAAATTCAAACATTTAGTGTTACAAATACCTCACCAAAACTTTACACAAAGAGGCAACTATAATGTAATTTAGTTTGTTTTCCCAAGAACAGGACACTCCTGTTAAATTTTAGGTTCCAGTGATCAAGAGATTATTTTTTATGATACCTCTATTGGGAAAGTGTATCACTCAACCAATTAGTTATTTGGTTCTTTAATAGTCATTCACTCAGTCAGTTAGGCACTTAGACTTCAGTCAATCAGAACATGTATAGAGTGTTGTTTAACTGTTTCACTCCCAAGATCTCAACAATTAATTCTCCTTACTGTGTAATACAATTCTAGCGATGTTAGTTTGGAGAATTTGGAGTGGGATTAACTAATAATTCCCTGATTTATATTTTCCCTTGTTCTCAATACTGTGTGCTTGAGAAAAGGAGAAAACTGAACTGATTGTAATTAGTTCAAAATTCTGCCCAAAGCCTGCCATTTCATATGTGTCAGTTGGTGATGAACAAATACTCCCCAAATCTTCAGCTAGGAATCTCGGTGTCATATTTGATGAATGCTGTAATATGGTGGAACATGTAAATAAGATCTGCAAAACGTCGTACTACCATTTAAGGAACATTTCTTAAATTAGGAAGTACCTCACTGAGGAAACTACGGAAATTCTTGTTCATGCATTTGTTAGTTCAGAACTAGATTATTGTAACTCTTTATTGTATGGCCTCCCTAAGCATATGATAAGTAGTTTGCAGTCTGTGCAAAACACGGCTGCTCTTATCGTTACTTTAACCAAGAAATTTGATCATATCACCCCTGTATTGATTCAACTGCATTGGTTACCTGTTCACTTTCGGATTCTTTTTAAAGTTTTATTGTTAGTTTATAAGGCCCTAAATGGTATGGCACCATTATATATCACGGAATTACTTAGTTATCGTACATGTTCACATATGCTACGCTCTACTGATCAAAAATTTCTGGCAGTTCCGAAGTCAAGACTTAAAACATATGGAGACAGGACCTTTTCTGTTGCTGCACCTAAACTCTGGAATGAGCTGCCATTAGATCTTAGAAGTTTAGATACAATTAATTTATTCAAGAAACATTTAAAGACCGATCTTTTTAAAAAAGCATATAATGTTTAAATTTTTGAGAATTTGGAATAGGATTTACTGTGATATTTTTATAAAAAAGTCTGCAAATAGGTTTTTAAATTATTCATATTTTATTACCAGTGGGATCTTTTTAATTATTTTAATATTAGCGCTATATAAATTACGTTAAATTAAAAATTAAATTAAATTGATACTCTATTGATATAATAAGGGGTGAAAAGGTTAAGTTTATATTAATAGCTTGTTTAATTAGGGACATAGCAGCAGCATGCATGGCACGGTTAGTAAGGAATGGGTTGTCTGTTCTTCTCTAAATGTTATTTTACAGCTAGCATTTCATTCAATATAGGTGTGACCATCCAAGTCTATGAAACTACTAATGAACCAACAGTAACTACAACTCCAGGTACAATTTGTGAATGTACAATGTAGTAAACATCACATAATCATGCAGTACTGCACAAACACACCTCAAATGTCAACATTTGGATGGCAATCCCATGAAGGTGTAACTAACTTGTTATTTCATGTCATTTCTTACTTTTAGGAACAAGCAACAAAAGTGGGGCTGTCATCGGTGGTATCCTTGGGGCTTTATTTTTTATAGTCCTGATTGGAGGAATTGCATTTTGGTTCTACAAAAGACGCAGAAGACAAAGGGACTGCTAACCAATCACTGAACCACATGATGACCAATTTTGACCAATCAGGACACACCACCAAAATCAAAATTTTTGCATGACACAAGGTGAACAAGATGCCACACCAGAGGATGAAAATATTTTTTTATTTTGGGGGAAGTTTGTGCATATGTAATAAAAATGAAGAACCCCCAAACTTGAAATTTTGCATAATGCAAGGTGAACAAGATGTCATGCAAGAGGGTGAAAATATTTTTTCTTTTGGGGGAAGTTTGCCTATGTGAAATAAAAATGACACACCCCAAACTTGAAATTTTTGCTTGACACAAGGTGAACAATATGTCATGCAAGAGAACGAAAATATATTTTGTTTATTGTAGGGAGAGTTTGTGCATGCAATGGACAACACTATAATAATATAAAGTAATCAAAACAAACTTTTTTTTTTAAAATTATGATAACAAAATCCTTTGTTTACTTTTGGAATGTGTATTCTCCCTGCTGGAAAGTGCCCATTTGATTACTTGCTGTGTTTGTTTTTGGAATTGTTGTACAATTGGATTTCAAAATCTGTCAGCCAATAAAGATAACATTTCCCTGTGATCTAAAGGTCAGTGCATTGGACTTTGGGTCAAGAAGTCCAGGTTTAAGACCTGACTGAGTTGTTGTGTTGGGTTCTCGAACAGAACAGTTTAGCTTCATTGTGCCTCTATTCATCTAGGAGTAAAATGGGTACCAATCATGAAATTTTGGGGGGTCACCTTGCAATAGACTGGTATCCTTTCGGGGGGGGGGGAGTAGTAATTGCAACAAGTTCTAACTGCATGGGCCACCATGCTTGAGTACAGACTTTACCTACCTACCTTCTCTATGTAATCTCACATGACTCAAGCCCCATCAACTTGTTAACAGGGGATTGAATCTGACTGCAAAGACTGGGTATCAGTCAAATGCCTATAAGCAAAATACATGACTTTGCCAGAGTTTAGGGATGAGTTGTTTTCGCAAGTGCATTTTTCGAAGTTTTTTTTACAGTAGACACCTTTTCCTTGGTGTTTTTATATTACTTCAGATGGCTGTTTGCTCAGTAGAAACTATTAACCCTTTAACTCCCAAGATCTGATTGTTAATTCTCCCCTCTTGCTACTACACATTTCCATGTGAGTTAGGTACAAGAACTTGGTGTTAGATGGAGATAACAACCTCTACCTGATTAGTTTGAATATTCTCATGCCCTGTTTGCTGGATAATGGTTAGATATTATAGGGAGAAGTCACTTGTTAATCACTTTTGGGAATTAAAGGATTAAAAGGTGTGCTAGAAAATATGCATCAGCTCAAGGGGGTACTTGGGTCAATATTTGCTGAGTATGTGCCACTGACCTCTCAGAACCCTACCCCATCATAGTCTACTTTGTGGCCCATTCTAGACACCATCTTAGTCACTTTTGGGCAAATGAAGTTTTTGCTATCTTAACTAATCACTTTCTATTTAAGCTTCTATTTTTTAGTAGGTTGCCCTAGATTGACTCAACACATTTGACTATGAAACTTCCCATTTTTGATCCCTACTTGACAGAATATTCTTACTCTCCCAAATCCCCCAAAAAGTGCGGCCCAAGTTTCGTTGAGTTTCAGTTACCTTCCAGCCCACCATGATAAAACAATGGAATGGTCAGTGACTAAAGCCGTGAAGGGATCCATATTTCTACAAATATTTTCCCTGAAATATTCACTTAACCTAATGCTGCCAACACATACAGCTAAGGAACTATTCATGGAAATGCAATTGTTATTCGAAAAAAAATGGTGGCTTCTTATCGGTCATGAATGTGGGAGGCGTGCACTAATGGTTAGTGTGCTGAACTTCGTGTCCAGAGGTCTGGGCTCGAGACTTTATTGAGAATCACCGCAAAAATTGGAACGTTCAAATCTCGAGTAAATTAGCATTATTCTGCAGCTTGGGTTACCTGTGGTCTTAAGTCTCTAACAGTTGTCTGTCTGGGTCTTGTGTGCTCACAAATTTTGCAATCTTAAGCTCTCTATTTTTCATTTCAGCTTACTATTGAGTGTCAAAAATGGATGATTCTTGGATGCTGACTTTGGAAATAATTGGAAAAGCTCTGAAATCTCGTGATGAATCAATAGCAGTAACATATAATGATAGAATGTTAATTTATTCTGTAATTATCACTCATCAAGTGACAAATGTTTCTGTACATTTCAGTCTATAAATTTCAAATTGTTCATTTAACAGGCCTATTTATTTCTGGTCACTCTGTTTTATTCAAGAAATGGTTATGTAAAATTCAAATGCTCAGAATATTGTTCCTCAATTTTCCTTTTCATTTTTTTTATATATTCCATACCTAAAACAGATGTTCTGGTGACATGCATATTTTGTCTTTCTTAGGATAGTCTAATAAGAAGAGATATCCCAGCTTTCTTAAAACTTAGTAACTTGTGTCTATTTTAGGTGCTTTGTGCAACTTCTCTATGTGTCCTTATTTGCAATTTGTGCTATTTTCTTTGTCCCAATTCTTCTTTCATCCCTTTTGGTGTTTATTCTTGTGTCTTTGTAGGTGTCCTTCCCTAGAAAATTAAACTGTTATGATAGGGTTTGATTTCAGTTAAGGACAATTGCCAGCGACCTAGACCTATTCCCTCTCTTTGTCCACCCATAGTCCCATAATGGAAGCTGGGAAAATGCCTTCAATGACAACAAAATAGCTCAGTTTCAAATTTCAATCCCTTTTTATTCCACAATTTACTCTCAATAGTGGTGGTTACACACACCTTGGGTTTGGGGCCTTGCGGAGGGTAAAAGCATGGGTTTGGTTAAGCTCAGGTTTCATTTTACCCTTGGGGATGTGCAGTTACACAGTATAAGACTCCCCTCAGGGTCAAATATAATCAGATATGAGTTCACTAACCTGACAAATTGGCGGGAAAAGTACAGAGCAACATGGATGTTACAAATCGAGATCTATTAAGCTTAATTTCAATGATTCTCCTGCTCATTATATGACAGTCCTCCATAAATATAACAGTCCAGCAGTTTTTTGCGAGAAGACACCGAAGAAAGCCCGAAATTAGCTAAGCACATTGGAGGTCACCTCAAAACACTGCAGGCGATTTCCTCTATTAGCTACATTCTGCTTTATGATTGGCCAAGCCACCTCAGGGTGCAGATAAACCATACTTTTCAGTTCAGGAATTGTCATTAGAAGTTCTTTTGTTATTTTTGATGTATCCATGGAAATAGCCCTAGGGCAGTTTCAGTCTGGGGAAAGCGGTTACACACAAAAACGTCCATGCCCGTGGGCAAACGCTATTTACCCATGGGTAAAAGGGCTAGTGTAACCACGACTAATGTTAAGCCTCGCGCGTGTGAGCCCGCGTTATTGACGGCATACCTGTGACGTAGCATGTCGTTATTCAGCTTTGGCGATCTAGCTCAAAGTAACCATTTGGGTGGGGGCTATGTATGCCACTTTTTACATCTGAGTGCGCAATTTAGTGGACTTGCCTGTGCCAACATCCATAGTATTGTGAGAGGGTAGATGAGGAAGCTAAGCCTGGCCGATTTTTCCAAGGAAATCCATGAAGTAAGTTGCATCGCAGGCGTGTGTTTCGTTGGCGCTGACGTCGCAGTGCGCTAGCTTACAGAGCGCTTTTTCGGACTCCGCTGCTTCTACCGAAGGGAGCAGCGGGCTCTCTGGGAGGGTGACCGTGGGGAAAATTTCTGAGTCATGATCATGTACGGATCTTCGGACAACCACCCAAAACACAACTTGTTCAATCCATTCAGTTCAGACGAGGAAAATATTACATCGTGCTTTCTTCATTTCATCTATTTTCAAACTCTTCGGTAATTCTATCGGACAGGTCTTTTTCTTCCTCAGAGGCTTTCTTGACAGAAAGTTAATTGTTACTGAAAAGAAGTTCAACCGACACTGCCGAAAGTTAAATTTAGTATAAGTATTTTTTTGATCATGTCTCGTTTTTATTATTATTGAAGCTTTCCATTTATTACATATTCGCTTTCGAAACAAATTTCGAAGGGTCTTGGATGGCTTTGTTGATGAGATCTAGAGGGATACGGCAGCTTTGCTTAATATTTGAACGCAATAAGGCAATCAAGGAACGGCGCCATTTTACTTTCCTTGACGTCAGGTCATATCACGTCTTGTCGGTTCACTGTTTTCAACTTTCCTTTGTCTGACTGATAACTATATTGGACGATGAAAAAACCGGTAGAGAACTGGGACTGAATGACAAAATTGCTGCGTGGTGGGGTGGGTTAAACAAATATACTTTGTTCAATTTACTCGTTCACAGAATTCTTTTTCAGCTTAATCTTCTCCAAGTTCAAATAGTTCGAGGTTCTACTGCTATCTTTCTCCTCGAATGTTTGTGGTCCGAGAAAGGATGGAGGCTTTGCTATAAACGGTTTTTAACTTCATTCCTGTCACGTCCCCCACGATTGTCTTATTGTAATCGTTTTGTTTTTCTTGAGCCCGCAAGACTACTTGACTTCTTTGACTTTAAATAGCCAACGAAATCATTTATTTCGCGGACGGTCAGGGAAAGTTTATATCGGCATGTTTTGGTTGAATTGGCTTTTATGTTTGCTATTTACAGCAGAAGGTAAGAAAACCGAGCATTTTTAACTCTATGTTTCTAATAAATCGGATGAAAGATGTCATCTTTAGCTCCCTTAGCTTCGATCGGAACATACTTTTTTGCTACATGATCACGAACGTGCGCAAAATTCGCGCCATTTTTACTTTTCATCATGAAACTGCAAACTGGCATTGGTATTACTGAGATTTAGGAATGAATAATCAGATTTTATAAACCTTTTTTTCCTCATTAGCAACGGTGCAATTGAATTACACCGGAATACTCGATGACACAGTGGCAAGTCGATAAGAAACCATAAGATTTTCATTGCATTAAGAACTTTTGACTTAACGATGGTAGTTTTTTTACTTTAAAAAAGGGAAATATTTTGAACAGATGTAAGTTTGGGTGATTGTGGACACTATGACTTTTTTTTATTACAAACGCAGTCTCAACATTTCGCATCGGTGCCTGACAGCTTACGAAAGTTTATCTCGCCATGTTTTTGTTGAATTGGTTTTTATGTTGGCTTTTCATGGAAAAGGTAAGAAAATCGTGTATTTTTCGCGTTATGTTTCTAATAAATTGAGTGAAAGATGCCATCTTTATCTCTGTTCACTTCAATCGGAAAAGACTTCGTGTGCCACATGATAATGAACTTGTGCACGCAAAATTCACGCTAGTTGACTGTTCATCACATATCCATGACAGAAGCCAGATGAATGGTCTGCAAAACCTGCGCTCTTTAAGTTAGTTTAGCCGTCTTTCATCTACCTGCCAAGCGTGACAGCTGAATGAATCACTGCCCATCTTAAGATACACTGTATGGCGATTAATTATTTGAAGCAGAATAGCCAAAATGTTACCAGCTATTATGCACTTTTCAATTGATTAAAAGTCAGTTGAGCCCCATGAAACTGCAAACTGGCATTGGTTTACTGAGATTGAAGAATGGATATTCACATTTTATGAAACTTTTTTTTTCCTCATCAGTGATGGTGCAATTGAATAACACCAGAATGTTGATGACACAGCTAGTGGCAAATTGACAAGAAACCATAAGATTTAATTGTATTAAGAAGTTTTGACTTAAAACTTAAGTGATGGTATGATGGTAGTCTCTTGCTTTAAAAAAAGTGAGAATTTTTTGGACAGATGTGGTTTTGGGACAAAGAAAAATCTGATTTCCTTGGTAGATTTTGTACATTGAGGGGGACATGGGGGGTTCTGAATATGGTAACTCTGCAAACTAAATAGAAACAACTAGCACACCGCTAGTCTCTTTCAGGCGTTAAGGTTGACTGGTTGTGCTTCATCTTATTAAGCACAGTAGTCCATCATTATTCATTGTTATAACAAACAGCTGTGATTGGCACATTTTCAACCCCACTGTTTTGGCGAAACATTCCCCTGTGGTAGGCTCTCCTGTTGTTTTGTCTCTTGATTGTAAGAATCCATGCTGGGGGAATTTCTATTCCACTGTTCCTGGTAATATTGTTTGAGTTAATTGCCTCTTTGACCCTGGGTGTGTATCAATGAGTGTTAAGATATGGTACTTTCAAGCAAAACAAAACAGTTTATGAAATAAGGCAGTTTTTGAATCAAATGGCAATAATGTCTTCAGCCATGTTGCCTTTCACTGTGTATTTCACTATAAATGCTGAAGAGCCTTGAATGATTTAGTGGATCTATTACAAAAGGATTTAGTATCTTTGCTTCAGATTTGTTCTTTAATTTTTTAAAACTGAAAATAAACTGAACCATGAACCAAACTTAAAAATTTTTATCTTAGAGACCAAAACAGTAGTCATGAGTCTGGTAATGTTCCCCTCAAAAAAAGAAATTGAAACATGCAAGCAGTGCTATATTTTTCATAAAAAGGGCAAAAATTATGCTTGTCTGTCCCAATTATACCCAAACTTATGCTAGAACAACATACAAGGGCTAAAAGCACTCATTTTCATCTTTGTTGTTGTTGTTGTCTTTCTCTTGGTCAATGACATGTTAGTTTGTTCTCTTGTATTTCTTAATTCATATGTTGGTTGTTGTTATTTATTTTGTAGCCAAATTTGCGGGAGCACTGAAGCAAATTCATGTTGATTCTGATGCTAAAAATGTAACAGCTTGTGGTAAGTACTCCTGTCTTTAATTTATGAAACCAGGAAGTTGTGATTAACTCCATTGACACCCTCTTTGTAACAAGGTGGCAAACTGGGTGGCTCTCCTCTGTCAAGTGATAAATATTATTATACATTAGACTTGCTTAAAAAAATCTGATTGGTTGATAGCATTCAATCAATATACAATAGCATGTGAAGTTGACATGATAATCCAATATCTGCAACAGATATTGGATTTATCATGTACATGTCTGCCTAGTTTCCAAGCCTCTCATCCGTGTAGTGTTTTCTCTGGCAGATTGTTTAAAAAATGCATGATAAAACAATTGTTGACTTCAGTTTTTGCATGATGTCAGGAATTATTAAACATCATATCTGTGTTATCTGTATCAGCCTTCAGCTTCAGCAGATAACTCAGTTTTGATAATTTATCATATCATGTTTTAATTGCTTAAGACTAGCTGATTAAAAAATACGTCAAGAAAAAACTTGAGAAACATCAATGGTTGATTTTATATGTAATTCTGATGAGGTGGGATAGAAGTGTAGCATGTGAAGCCCACTGGCTAAACATGTTTTTTTTTTTTTTTTTTTTTTTTTTTTTTTTTTTTTTACACTTTAAACCAACAGTCCAATATTGATTCATGCATTATTTTTACTCTTCTTGGTGTAGTTGGATGAGAAAGAAATATATCAACAACTACAAGTTAACCCATACCAAATTCTTTGAATTAACCAGATAAGAATTGTTTGTCAGGCAGTAAGGAGAATTACTAATGAGAGATTAGGAGTGAAAGGGTTAAGAAATTGCTGATCATGATAATTTTTTCTCAACAGTAACTCCAAATGAAGACATTATCATTACATGGTCGTTTCAACAACATGATGTTGAACGAATTACAATGGCAATCAGCAACGCTTCCAATGTCATTGGGAGATTTCAGAATGGTGAATACCGCTGTTACAAAGATGGATTTGTGACAGAAACAGAATGTCAGGAACACTTCTCACTGACTGTGAATGGATCTAGTGACATCATTATTGCAATGAGAAATATCTCAGATGATCATTTCAAAAGCTATCTAATATCTGTGTACGGTGGACCAGACGACAAAATAGAAACCTTATGGATCACAGTCTGTAAGAAAGGTAAGCTGAGTACTTTCTGCTGTACTCTTGAATACTTGATATGTGCAGTATCTAGAGGGTGTAACAGATGTTTAATTACCATCATCACCAAGGAAAACAAGCCCAGTGAACAGTGCCCAAAGAATAACAGTACAGTTTAAACCAACATTAGCCATTCCAGTGAGTTTACTGTGTGTTGGAATACTTATTTCCATTGAAGATCCCTCATTGAAAACAGCTTGCACTATTAATGCCTTTTTAAAAGAAAAGGCATTTTTTTATTTACTGAAAGAATGAGAAAACAGGAGTAAGATTATGAGCTGCAGTAACTACAGCATGCATGGCACCATTAGGAAGGGATAGGTTGTCTGTTCTTATATAAATGTTTTTTTACAGCTAGCATTTCATTCTATGTAGGTGCGACCAGCCAAGTCAATGAAACTACCAATGAACCAAAAGCTCCAAGACCTACAACTCCAGGTACCAATTAATTCACTTAGTTTATGAATTTTTTTTCCTTTGGCTATTTAGCTGCATCTAACCATTGATTTTGTGAATGTACAGTGTATTGTGAACATTGTATAATTAATTTCAAAATGGCTGCCTCGTGTTTTGTCAGTGGGAAAGTGCATCACTCAACCATTTTGTTATCATGTAACAGTAGTCATTGACTCAGTCAGTTAGGCACTGAGACTGTCTTTCAGTCAATCAGAGCATGTATGAAGTGTTGTAACTGTTTTACTCCCAAGATCACATTTAGTCATTCTCTTTACTCTGCCATATAATTCTCATGATGTTAGTTTGGAGAATTTGGAGTGGGATTAACTAATAATCCCCTAATTGATGTTTTTCCTTATTCCAAACACTGTGTGCTTGATACTGTATTGATATGGAAAGGGGTGAAAAGGTTAAGTTTATATTAATAGCTTGTTTAATTAGGGACATAGCAGCAGCATGCATGGCACTGATAGTAGGGGATAGGTTGTCTCTTCTTAAATAAATGTTATTTTACAGCTAGCATTTCATTTAATGTAGGTGTGGCCAGCCTAGTCAATGCAACCACAAATGAACCAAAAGCTCTAAGAACTACAACTCCAGGTACCAACTAATTCACTTAGTATATGAATATTTTTCTTTGGTTGTTTAGCTGCAGCCAACCATTGATTTTGTGAATGTACAATGTATTGAAAACATCACATAATTATGCAATACCACACAAAAACACCTCAAATGTCAACATTTGGATGGCAATCCCATGAAGGTGTAACTAACTTGTTATTTCATGTCATTTCTTTCTTTTAGGAACAGGCAGCAAAACTGGGGCTGTCATTGGTGGTACCTTTGGGACTTTATTTTTAATGGTCCTGATTGTAGGAATTGCAATTTGGTTCTGCAAAAGATGCAATTAATTAATTAATTAATTAAGTAATTTTACAGCATCGCAACAAATGTAAGTTTTGTATTGGGTAGTTTTCATCAGCATTTTTGTTGTAGTTTTCCCAAGCAAATTTTGTTTTAAGTGTATTTAGCTTAATTTACATTGTAATAAGTCTTCGCTTGCTATTTTATATACAGTTTTAACCGATTCAATTAATACCAACTTGTGTCAGCAATTGTTGAGACTAAATATTGTAAATTTGTGGGGAAAACTGTCTAATTGATTTGCTGAGAGTTAGTAACCCATTATAGCCACACTGGTATCCCATCCAGGGGGAGTTGTAATTGCAATATGTTCTAACTGCATGGGTCACCATGCTTGACTACAGACTACTACCTTTTCTATGTAATCTTACATGACTCAACCCCCATCAACTTGTTAACAGGGTTGAATCTGACTGCGAAGGCTGGGTATCAGTCAAATGCCTGTAAGCTGAACACATGACTTTGCCAGAGTTTATGGATGAGTTGTTTCAGCAAGTGCATTTTTCGAGAAGTTTTTTACTGTAGACACCTTTTCCTGGGTGTTTTTATATTATTTCAGATGGCTGTTTGCCCAGTAGAAACTATTTAACCTTTAACTCCCAAGATCTGATTGTTAATTCTCTCCTCTTGCTACTACACATTTCCATGTGAGTTAGGTACAAGAACTTGGTGTTAGATAGAGATAACAACTTCTACCTGATTAGTTTGAATATTCTCATGACCTGTTTGCTGGATGATGTTTAGATATTATAGGGAGAAGTCACTTGTTAATCACTTTTGGGAATTAAAGGGTTAAAAAAAAATTTCAAATCCCTGCTTGACAGAATATTCTTACTCTCCCAAATCTCCAAAAAAGTGCAGCCCCATTCTCTAGACTAGTAACGCTATTGAAAATGAATCCCCAACGTAGTCAATCCTGTCGTAAAAATGCGACCTCATTCAGTGGCACATCCAACCCATGAATAGGAAGTACCCTCTCCTTCCCCGTCCCCTCCCCCTGTTGTAACTTAAATTAAAGGGGATAGTAATAAATCAGTTCAATAAATCTTGTGTAGTCATCTAGATGAAATCACTGCTTGTAATGCTAATCTATATTAAAATGGTTGTTTAATTTCTTAATCAGTGGATGTCGCCCAAGTGTGTAATCATTCAGATTCAAACTAGCAAACAGTTCTTTTATGTTCAGCTGTTTATTTTGCTATGCAATTCTTTCAATTTAAAGTCTGGATGGACTGATCCTCAAATAGTCCATGACTATTTGAAAAAAAGCTATCGTGCTGCATTAAATTTTTCTCATCATTACTAGATGTGTTTCAAAACTATTTTATTTATTACCAAGAAATAGTGAAACATCGGGTTCGATTCCGGGACTTGACGACATATGTGGGTTGAGTTCGTTGTTGATTCTCGTCATTGCCGCAAGGGTCTTTCTCTGGGTTCTCTGCTTTTCCACCCTCCACAAAAACCAACATTCCAAATCCTAATTCGACCAGGACACAGTGGACAGGAAGAGCCACCTCGTAGATTGCTCTTTGTTAAATAATGATAATAATAACAATAATGATAATAATAATAATTATTATTATTATTAGTAACCAACCATTCGGAGGTTTTTACTATGCATAACCCTTTTGCCGCTCCCGATATACCTGTATAAGCTTGTGCCTCGACTTTCGTGTGTTAAAAGCTATTCTTTATGTCTACCTTAGTTTCACTCCAGCCTTGCTATGTGGAAATATCCAAGACGCCGAAGACGAATCCAAATAATAAAAGAAAATCGAGTCAGTGTCTCAGTTGAGTTTGTAGTAAAGTGAATTTTGATTCCGTGTCGAAAATCGAAAAACCAAAGTAGTCACAACGGCCAATCAGAATTCAGACAAATGTCACAAGCAGCCAATGAGAACTCAAAGTGAAAACAAGCAAACTGCTCACGTGCAATCAAACGCATGAGACCGAATTGCGTTTGGTTTTGGAAACAGATCGGATAGCCAATGAGAACTCAAAGGGAAAACGAGGAAACTGCCTCAAACGCGTGTAACCAAATCGCGTTTGGTATTTGGAAAGAGACCGGATAGCCAATGAGAACTCAAAGTCAAAACAAGCAAACTTCTCTCGTGTAATCAAACGTGGGTGACCAAATCCCGTTTGGTTTTTGAAAACAGATCGGATTAATTGAGAGGATGGCGCGAGTTTTTGTGGATCAGTCACTTTGCGAAGTAAAGCAAAACCCAAGCAACGCCAAGCAACTTTTGATGCTCAGTTGAAAATTACTCTAAATCAAAGGTTAGGTTGCAAACACAAGACAAACTTAAAAGTGGTGTTTCTCTGTTGTTTACCCTCTGTACGTTACTCTCTGTTTGTAGATATCGAAGATTCCCAAGTGACTTCACAAGTGGGTGACGCTGTCCTACATTTAACTAAATACAAGACAGCTTTCTTTAATCAAATTTATCCAAACTAGCAAGAAAATAGTCCTCCTCTGAGTCCCTCGGCTTCTTTCGTTCATTTGTTGTTTCCTTTTCTTTAGATTTAACCCTTTAACTATCATTTCCCAGAGCTGCTACGTAATTCTCCTTTTAACTTTTCGAAACCCTTTGATTCCCAGATCAAATTTGTAATTCTCCTTATTGTCAACCACACAATTCTTATAATGTTAGTTCAGAGAATTTAGTATTGGATCAACTAAATATCCCCCAAATTGATATTTTTCTTTATTCTCATCACTTATCTGGTTGATAAGTTTTGGCGGTGGTGAAAGTATTAGAGATAAACAACCACTTAGAAACGCAGGCAGGCTGAAAAATAGTCCTGTTTATTCATACTGTCGGTCTATAACACAGGTAGCCCAAGCTGCAATTTGGGCCGATTTACTCGAAATTACACGTAGGCAGTCGACAGACGAACGTTCTTATTTATGCCTTAATTCTTTTGAAAATGTTTTGAAATACGCTCAGTGTCTTTTCGTTGTTCTTTATTTCACTCTGAACGAGTTTCATCAAATTTCATTGAGTTTCAGCTACCTTCCGGCCCACCATGATAAAACGATGGAATGGTCAGTGACTAAAGCCGTAAAGGGATCCATTTTTCTACAAATATTTTCCCTGAAATATTCACTTAACCGAATGCTGCCAACACATACGGCTAAGGAACTATTCATGGAAATGCAATTGTTATTCGAAAAAAAATGGTTGCTTCTTATCGGTAATGAATGTAGAAGGCGTGTACTAATGGTTAGTGCGCTGAACTTCGTGTCCAGAGGTCTGGGCTCAAGACTTTGGTCGGTCAATGTGTTGTAATTGGGCAAAAGACTCACCTCTTGCAGTGCCTCTTCGCCCAGCAGAAGCCTAATGAAAGGCAGGGGGTAACCGTGCGATGGACAAGCATCCCGTTCAGGGGGGAGTAGTAATACCCCTAGTCACAAAACTGGGATAAGCTCCGGCTGTGTGGGCCACATGACTCGAATACAGACTTAAAATACCTGTATCAGCTGTCAGCCTAACTGATCTTCAGTGATACCAAGGCAAAATAAAGTCTAGTCACATCAAAAGCCGTGAAAAATGCAAGGGACCCTTGAGACAAGACAAAACAATACCCCACGGGGAGGGACAAGGAGGGGGAATAGACTCGTTCAGGCAGGGACAACAAGAAGCCACACTGAGTGTTTCGAAAGTTTTATTGAGAATCACGGCAAAAATTCGAACGTTCAAATCTCGAGTAAATTAGCATTATTCTGCAGCTTGGGTTACCTGTAGTCTTAAGTCTCTGTAACAGTTGTCTGTCTGGGTCTTGTGTGCTCACAGATTTTGCCATCTTAGGCTTTCCATTTTTCATTTTAGCTTACTGTTGAGTGTCAAAAACGGATGATTCATGAATGCTAACTTCGAAAAATATTGGAAAAGCTCTGAAATCTCACGATGAATTAATAGCAGTGATATATACCGATAGAATGTTAATTTATTCTGTAATTATCACTCATCGAATGACAAATGTTTCTGTAAATTTCAGTCTGTAAATTTCAAATTGTTCATTTAACAGGCCTATTTATTTCTGGTCATTCTGTTTTATTCAAGAACTAGTTATGTAAAATTCAAGTGCTCAGAATATTGTTCCTCAATTTTCCATTTCATTTTTTTTTAATTCGACACTTAAAACAGATGTTGTGGTGACATGCATATTTTGTGTTTCTTAATATCTTGTGTCTATTTTAGGTGCTTCGTGCATCGTACAGAAGATAGACTGACTTCCCATGTGTTTTCATATGCAATCTGTCCTATTTTCTTCGTCCCAAACCTTCTTTCATCCCTCTTGATGTATTTCTTTGTGTCTTTGTAGTTGTCCTTCCCTAGCAAACTATCATGACAGGGTTTGATTTCAAGTAAGGACAATTGCCAGCGACCTAGACCTATTCCCTTAGTTTGTTCACCCATAGTCTCCTAACGGAAGCCAGCAACGACAACGACAACAAAATACCTCGGTTTTAAATTTCAACCCATTTTTACTTAGCCGACGTGTAGCCGTACCGTCCCCCGATGGTGAAACTGAAGCGAGTTAACCGCCTCGTTTAACATTGGCGGAAGGTGGGTACGGTTACACGAAGGCTACAAATTACTCTCATTGTGCGTTTGAACCCGCGTTATTGACCACATACCTGTGACGTAGCTTTTCGTTCTCCACATGCACTGGGTAGTCAACGTATACATTAATAGAGTGGTTCAACAAGAGGACAGAAACGTCAGTTGACAACGGCGCGCGCAGCAAAAATACCGTCAAGAAACTGGATTTGTTCTTGAACATCCTAACCTCGGCTCTCTTAACATCACCATTACCTTTGAATTTTCAGTTTCATAGACCACTTTAAGGACAACGAAATTATCTTCTTTGAGAGTTATGTAACAAGCGCAAACTGAGGATAGTACGGCAAGTAAGTTGTTAATATGAATCCTATGGGCGATTAAACTTTGAAATTATTCCAATTAAGGCTCGAGTCGGCTAATTCATCTATCAAATTTTGAAGCCCAATAAATAATTTTTTTTCTATGATTTGTGTCGCTGTCATTTCGTTTGTACTAATAGATTTCAGCAATAGTTTTCCTTCATAATTTTGTAAAGTATAATTTGGAATTGAAATCGTCGTCGTTTTCCCCTTTTTTTTATTGAATATTCTACTCAATCAGGACAGTACATATTTTTTGAGCACCATCTGTAATGCAATGCATTTTTGAACAGAGTTATCAGGAGTTATGATATGAACTCCAACTAGTCACCAAAGAAACGGTTAGACTTGAGAATAAGACTTCGTTCCTGTTTTCTTTTTTTGCTGTTTTTGTTTTAAAAATTTAATTTTGTTTTAACGAATAAAGTCGTTCAAGACTGAATCAAATTAATACTGAGATTTAGAAAGCCGTGCTGAAATAAAATTGATTGTCATTTCTTTTGTACCGAGAGCATGACTTTCTTATTTTAGTTTTCACCGGCGCTGGTCAAAAATTTAAGACATAAAAAAGTGCAAACCCGAGTTTATTGAAATGAAGTTATGATGAATGAATTCACGATAAAATAAACAGCATCCCATTCTAAGAGTTTTCATACAGGATTAAAAACATGTATCAAAGAAAAGCCCTTTCGTTATTTCAAGCCTCGCTCAATTACAAGTGAACTGAGCCCTGAAGTCTTGGATCCGACGGTTGCTAACGATCGTGTTTCCTTTCGGGAATCCAACATAAGTGTAGCGGGAAATTTTCACAAATACACCGAATAATACAAAGGAAGGGACCAGGTTATCCTGGAAATGAGTTTTGAAATAATTCCAAACAGTATTATCTCGTTTATAAGTGCACAAATCTTAGGCGTTTTGATCGCGACGGGAAAACCAGTGTAATGACGTTCTGAACTTGTTGAAGAGAACGAGGGAGAACAGCAACGCCAACACCGGAAGTCGAAATAGAGTCGTGTCCAGACTATCTGCGCGCTTTCCCGTTCTGAAATGATGCTCGTCACGTCTCGTCCTCCTGCTACATCACTCTATTGTGCGCGATGGGCCGCGGACATCACGTTTCCACACCTGAGTGCGCAATTTAGTGGACTTGCCTGCGCCAAAATGTGTTTTCAGCATCTATGGAGTGAAAGGGTAGAGAAGGAAGCTAAGCCTGACCAATTTTCCGAGGAAATCCATGAAGTAAGTTATTATCTCAAGCATATGTTTCTTTGGCGTCAGCGTTTGGCGCTTACCAAACGCTTTTTCGGACTCCGCTGCCCCCACCGAAGGGAGCAGTGGGCCCTAAAGGGGTTGACTATAGGGAAAATTGCTGAGTCATGATCTCGTACGGATCTTTGGATAACCACCCAAAACACGACGTGTTTAATCCATTCAGTTCAGGCGAAGAAAATCATTCATCGTACTTTCGATTCTTCTTCTCATTTATTTCTAACTCTTCGCTAATTCTGTTAGACAGGTCTTTTTCTTCCTCAGAGGCTTGCTTGACAGACAATTAATTGTTACTTAGAAGAAGTTCAACCGACATGGCCGAAATTTAATTTTGGTAGAAAGATTTCTTCATCATGTCTCGTTTTCATTTTTTATTAAGCGTTTAGTTTGCTACATATTCATTTTCGAAAGAAATTTCGAAGAGTCTTGGATGGTTTTGTTGATGAGATCTAGAAGGATACGGTAGTTTAGCCCAATATTTTAACACAATAAGGCAATCAAGGAACAGTTCCATTTAATTTTCTTAGCTATTAGGTCGCCAATTTCTAATCTCGTCTTTCACTATTTCTTCCGTCGATTGTGATGACAAACAGACAGTGACAAAAGCGGTAGAGAACTGGGACTGAATGACAAAACTGCTACGGGTAGGGTGGCCTGGGTTAAACAAAAATACTTTGTTCAATTTACTCGTTTACAAAATTCTTGTTCAGCCTTATCTTATCCAAGTTCAAATAATTGGGAAGGTATACTGCTATCTTTCCCTAAGAGTTTTTGAGATCCAAGAAAGGATGGAAGCTTTTCTATGATCAGTTTTTAACTTTATTCTTTTCTGGAGCTCACAAGACTATGTGGGTCATTGTAGACACTATGACTCATGCAATTCTCAACCAATATTTCATGTCAGTTCATACCCACATCTCGCGCGGTCAAAATTTACGGAGCCTCCTTAATTATATAAGTAATTCTTAAACAACAATTGCTATCTGTGACTGAAGGCTAGGAAAAGTTTATCTTGAAATGCTTTGGTGGGATTTTTCCTTATGTTTGCTAGTTCCAGCTATAGGTAAGAAAACCCTTTAGGGTAGTTTAGCCATCTTTCATCTGCCTATCAAGCCTGACAACTGAATGACTCACTTTCCATCTGAAGATACACTGTATGGCGATTAATTATTTGATGCAGAACTACTGAAATGTTACCAGATGTCATGGGCTTTTCCACTGATTAAAAGTCAGTTTAGCCTCATGAAACTGCAAACTGGCATTGGTTTACTGAGAATCGCATTTTATGAACTTTTTTCCTCAGTAGCAACGGATCAATGGAATAAAACTGGAATGTTCAATGACACAGCCAATGGTGAGTCGACAAGAAACTGTAAGATTTTAACTGCATTAATAACTTTTGACTTAAAACTTAACTGATGGTATGTTGGTAGTCTCTTACTTTTAGCAAAAGAGAAATCTGATATCTTTGGTAGATTTTGTACATTGAGGGAGACATGGGGGGGGGGTTCTAAATACAGTAATACTGCCACCAAATAGAACTAACACTGCATCACCACAAGAAATATTATCAACACAGCCACACCACGATTTTGCCTTAGTCTCTGGATTTACCTGGTCTAAGTGGTTTTTGAAAAAAAAACTCAAAACCATTACTCCTACATTTCAAACATAAGTTATAAGGGTAAAAGAAAGCTAGTGTGTTTACAAATTCATCAAATGGTTTCTTTTAGCTTTGAAAGGCTCTTTTCATTTCTCTTGACTCAGTATCTAAATTTACACTTCTTGTGGTAGTTCTAACCACCTGTTCCCTCCTCGAAGTAAAGGGTAATGCATTTAGTTATTTGTGTCTTGATGAGTTTCAGTCATTGTTACTGCACGCTGGTCTTTGGCTGACCAAAAGTGCATGTGGTAGAGGTCCAGAGGTCAAGTAAACTATAAACAAACACAGCCTGGGGTCAATCAGCTAAATGTTTATTAAAGATTAACTCGGATGCATTGCTTATTTTGTTTGACATTATTCAGTGTTTACAATAATTAACCATGGGTTATCAAAACTAGTTTTTAAAAGGGTTAATCAATAAACTGCAAAACCAGAAATTCGTTTCAAACTGCAAACATCCTATACTATAATGTTTGAGATCACTGCAATCCCACAATGTAAGTTGTTCTTCATAGCAATAAACAGTATACCTCTAATTGTGATCTCCTGATTTGTTGAATTAATCGGCATTATACATCAACTGAAGTGAAGAATTTAACCATGTTTATACTTATACTTTTAGGGGAGGCTGTGCTGAACCCAGATGGCAGTATTACTTTGCCAACTGAAAATATCAGTTTATCTGAAGACCAAAGTGACTTGACCTTGACAACTAACATCACTCTCCCAAATGGCACTGTGTCGGTTGGAAATGTCATGGTGTTTGTCTTCACTGATGATGATCTTGGTGGTCGCCTTATTTCTCACCCTGTGAATACTTCTGGCATTACTCAAGCCTCAGCAAAAGCGCAGATGGTGCGCAAATTCAAGTTAGAGACAGCCAATGTAACCCTGTCCTCTGTACTTACCAAAGATTCTACCACAAATCGGTTTAAAGTTAGATCAATTTTTAAAATTGCTCTGTCTTATTCAACACTTTACCGGCAGTCATTTGTGATAAGAAAGATTGTTCTTGTTGTCACTTCTCATGGCAAACATGATCATCAAAATGAGCAACTATATTTGATTTTTTACACAAAGTCAGGTGAGATTTTGTTTTGTTTAGTTGTGTTCTTTATTTAGTAAGCTCAGTCCCAAGTTTTGCACCCAATAATAACTAATTTCTTCAGTTATAATATACGTAAAAAATTATGCATAATTGATTGGCTGAAAACTGGTGCATTGTTTATGTAACATAGGTGCAAAGTTGTAAGATAAGTGCAAAGTTGTTAGACAAGTGCAAATTAATAGCATGCATTCCAAAATTTGTCCATGTGACTTTCTGGGGTGAGTTTTTCATGTAAATTATTAACAATTAACAATATAATTTGAGTGCAATTTGGTGTTAATATGCACAAGTTAATTTTCCAAAGACTGAATTTCCTTGCCCTGTGGGTTTGCACAATTTTGTTGTCATGAAAAATTTACCTGTGCTTGTTAACACCAAATTGCACTCGAAATCATGTAATACCTATATACTAATCTAATCTGCTTTTTCCCTGGAAATTGTTGATAATCAAGTACAAAGTATTACTAGTTAGGAACATAAAAAGGGTCGAGTGTCAGGAAGCAGATACTGCTTCCCAAAATAGGTTAGTTTGGATAACTTGCATATCATAATATACAAAATCTTGACACTTCCCCACCAAAAGTGAGTTTGTTGACTATTTGCTTGTTTGTCTGATTTTTCTTGCAGTTATTGTGCCTTCTCCGGTAATGTTCTCTAATGTATCAACAGTTGCTCACAGTACTGTTAGGACACCAATCTCAGGTATGCTAAATTTTTTTTGTCACAAAATGCATTTAATATCAAGGGTGATCATTATACTGGCTGTCCTCACAATTCTGAATTGGGGTTAATAATGTACTGGTAACTCAATGATGACAAACAAATTGAAGCCTGGTAAGGAAATGAGAGTCAGTAAACTTTTGTATTTTTCTTATTCTCCTTGACAGCAGTATTTTTAAATAATTCTTTTTCACCTCTGCTTTTTCTCTTGAAAATCTCAATAATCAAGTGCAAAGTATTGTCAGATGGGAACATGGAAAAGGTTGAGTGTCTAAAAGCAGATATGTCTGCTTCCCAAAATAAGTTACTTTGGATTACTTGTGTCTCATAATGTGCAAAATCTTGCCACTTTTCCACCAAAACTGTTTGTTTATTATTTGCTTGTTTGTTTGATTTTTCTCACAGTTATCATACTTTCCCCAGTATTTTTAAGTACTGTATCAGAAGTTGCCCACAATACTGTTAGGACACCAATCTCAGGTATGCTTATAATATTTTTAGCATAATCATTGCTTGCCAGGAGGAGTGATCAATATATGGATTTGGCTCTCCTGACAAATTTAAACAGGGGGTAATGACAAACTGGTAACTTTAATTCTCATGACAAACAAATTACAAAATGGTAAGGAAATGAGAGTCAGGAAACTATTGTATTTTTCTTATTTTCCTCAACTCCAGTATTTTTAAATGATTCATTTAACAAATAGATTCCAAGTTGCTGTGTGTCTGTTCTGTAATAGATCACAGAGGACATCAAAATGTGTTAAAAAAGTTTTAATGACAATGTCATCTATACGTCTGTCCTCCAATAGATCATAAGTGAGAACCAATCAGAATACGTGGATAACTGAGCTTATTATATATTAAATAATTATAGTAAATAAGTTTTCTTTGAGGAAAAAGTTAGCTCTTGATTTTGTTTGATTTTTCTCACAGTCATCATACCTTCCCCGGTATTGTTAAGTACTGTATCAGCAGTTGCTCCCAATACAGTTAGGACACCAATCTCAGGTATGCTAAAATTGTTTTTAGCAGAATCATTGCTTACCAGCAGGAGTGATCAATATATGGATTGGGCTCTCCTCACAAATTTAAACAGGGGGTAATGACATACTGGTAACTTTAATTCTCATGACAAACAAATTATAGCCTGGTAAGGAAATGAGAGTTGCAAAACTTTTGTATTTTTCCTTTTTTCCTTGAATCCAGTATTTTAAATAATTTGTTTAATTATAGTAAATAAGTTAGCTATGAGAAAAAAGTGAGCTCTTAATTCCAAGAAATCAGGGAGGAGATGGGTACATCTAGAGGGTACTTATTAACAATGGCAAAAAAATACTTGTTAAAATAATTAGAAATGCTTAGTACATAAGAAAGGAATTAAAGTGTAATAGAAATATATTTGAACCTTGATTATCTGTGTACTAAATAATCCAGACTTGGTTCTCATGGTCCCATTTTTTTTTTTTTTTTCAATATTTAATGGTCACTTGGAGATATGTAACCACTTTTTCCCATCAAACAAAGCAGTTGTGCTGAAACAGTTTGACTCTATTCTGTAAATTAGTGCAGCTTCAAAGAATGATAGAGTTAGTGTAGTTGACAGGATTGTTAGGGGTTACTCTTTAAGGTATTAAGTCCTCTTTGTTATCTGTTGTATGAACATCTGCATATTACTCTGAAACTGTAAGAATTAACACTATTTTATCCTTGAATATTTCTGATCAATTTCTTTTCTCTTGTTTTAGTGGGGCCTACCTCACTTAGTGTTTACATTAACATTCTGTCGGGTAGTTTAACAACCTCAGGTAGAGTTTATTGTAAAATTAATCTAGTCATTAGGTTAAATTAAACACCTGCTATTAGTACCTTTTAAATTAAGAGGTTCTGTTGGGTTCTCCTCTGTGAACTTGAAGTTTATTTTTGGTTATTGAAAGTTATTTCTGTGAGGATGAAGCTAAGTAAGAAGTTTTGCATACTTAATTTTCATTACCTGTATGACAAGAATTATCCGGCTTAGCGGGTTCATTATTTTCCATGTCAGTGAAATTTTTTTTTGTGAATGTTGTTTTTTTTTTCCTTACAGTGGTTCCATTCCCAGTAAGCACTACAGTAGCTGGTTCCTCTTCGAGTGTTCAAAACACTGTTAGGCCAACAGCTACAGGTATGATAAAATTATCTTAAGTGGATTTCATCTTCATCACAACCTCTGAATAGTAAGAGAGATTATACAGTCAGTGAATGCATTCCAGGTTTTCATTAGTTTTACAACACTAACTTAGACAGAAGGGTGGTGAAAATTGTTGATTGGGAAATTGTCAACCCAAGAATTTTAAATAATGACTCATGAGAAACATATGGGAGGCAGGGTGGCCTATCAGTGGTTCATTATGCTGAACTCTAGGTTGAGAGGTCTGGGTTTGAGGCCTTGTTAGTCATTGTGTAGTGTTTTTGGGCAATTTGCAATTTGCAATTTCATTTACCTGGGACTGGCCTCTTTTTTCTTAATATGAAAACAACTTTTTCCCATCAAATAGAACATACTGTAATGAAGCAATGTTGACGCTATTTAATTAATGGGTCTTTAAAGACTGATAGAATTAGCAACATGCAAACACTGTCAGTAGCAACTTGAAACAAACTAATTTGCATCAAAATTTTAGGTCGCAACATTTTGTAGGTAGGCTTTTGTTAATAACTTTATGAAAATGCTTTTGGCAGATGTTAGCAATGATGGACAATGATTGAAATGACATGTGCTCAGTTTTGTTTTTGGCTCATCGATATTTATATTTTCAATTGTCTGGACTCTTGATTGTACATCCAGGTCCCCACGGGTCTGGATAATCAAGGCTCGACTGTAATGGAATAATCTCTTACTGATAAAATTCTGGGGGTTACATTCCAGTGGACCTTAATTTCTCCCTTTATTTTTATTTATTGTCTAAAGTGATTAATTAATCCTGCAAACAATCCCATTAACGTGTAACTAAGTTTTTATTTTATGTCATTTCTTATTTTTAGGCACAAGTAACAGAACTGTGGCTATCATTGCTGTTGCTACTGTGTTTGTAGTTTTAGTTCTAATAATAGCCTTATTATGTTACTGTTGTCACCACAAAAGAAAGGGCAGAAAAATTGATGCCACAAAGACTGCTGTGCCACCGGTGTCTGAAAACAGTAAAAAAATTACTATGGAATCCTTTGTTTAGAAGAAATGTATCAACATAGAGCACCTTCTTCATCTTGCCTTAACCCTTTAACTCCCAGATCAAATTTGTCATTATCATAATATTCTCATAATGTTAGTTCAGAGAGTTTAGTACTGGATCAACTAATCATCCCCAAATTGATATTTTTCTTTATTCTCATCACATATCTGGTTGATATTGTATTGATATTGTAAGGAGAAATTCTGTCTTGGTCACTCGTGGGAGTTAAAGGGTTAAGTGCATATGTTTTTTCTGAATTAGATAGGATTGAGAAATTATTCAATACCTTAACTTAAGGTACACAATCCAGTAGTGTAAGGACTGCTATACATAGCGTGATAAACTGTTGACTTATCAAAGTGGCAACAAGAAAATGCATTTGACAGAAACTGCCCTCATAAATGTTATAGACAATGCTTTGAGAGAAATTGATGAAAAATCAGCTTCGTTACTAGTACTGCTTGATATAACAAAAGCTTTCAACAGCCTTAATCATAATCTATTGTTAGAAAAATTACAAGAACTGGGCCTCAAAGCTTCTGTAACTTCCTGGTTTAGTAGCTACCCATCCAGAAGATATCAAAGAGTACAATGCAAAGATTCAGTCTAGGAATTGTTACCCTTAACAAATGGAGTACTTCATGGATCAATCTAGGGTCTTGTGCTTTGTACTAGCCATTTAGATTAATCATTTAAACAGTGTCATTACACAAAGTCAACCTGCTGCGTATGTTGATGATAGTCAATTGCACTTTAAATTTTCTGTGTCAGACTCATCAAGTGCTATGGCAGCCATAAACCAAGATCTTAGGAACATCAGTCAATGGTGTGCAAAGAATACTCTACTTATAAGCCCTGAGAAGACAAAATTAGTGAATTAGTGGTTGTTGGCTCCGCACAACTTATTAATAAACTTATTTTTTTGCTTTTTTTTTTGTTGATAGCTGTGTTTAAAATTACAAGTAATCCACCCTAGCGAGTTCTCCTTGACCATTTTCCTGTGCATTGAAAGTACGATTTGGCGGCCAGAAAGTGTCCTCGTTAAGCGCGCGGCCAAAACGAGCATGTTACATCATTGTGACGTAGAAAACTATGAAGACACGTTGGCAACTATAGTGAAGAAAGGAAGAATTATCTCGTATTGCGTGACCGGAACACCACATGATGTTAGTTACAAGAATAACACACATATACCGGGTATTTCCATACACTACTTTCCAAACGATGTAGCTGTATGGCCAAAATGGACGCGTTTCAATCGTCGACATCGAGGAGATTTTAATCTTCAATGTTGTCGGTCTTATGCTCCGTTAGCCGGCTTGAGGACGGCTGTTACGAACACATACCACTAGACAAATCAGGGGAAGATAACCAAAGAATTTAGCTAAATGGTGTAAATAACCCTTTCAGACTCCGTGCAGATGCCCATCGGTTGTCGAAACTGGCAATCCTGTACTTTCCCATCCACACTACCTTCCTCTCTTTCGCAGCCGGCAAAAACTTCGACCTCTCCATTTGTCTTGATCGTACACAGAGATGCCCGGTTTAACGACTCTAAAAGCGCTGTTCGTTCTTAACGACAAAGGGAGGCGTTGTTCGTCTCTAACAACAAAATGAAGCGTTGTTTGGTTAGTACTTCTACTTCTACTTTATTGATTGATAACGCGTATTAACGCATCGCATCAACATAAATACAATAAAATAATAAATAAATAAACACTGATAATAAAATGTATATATGTTATAAGAGCAATTATTTACTCCATTGTATTCCCTCCCTTTGTCCACCCATAGTCCCCTTACGGAGGCCAAGAAAATGCCTTCAACGACAACAAAATACCCCGGTTTAAACTTCAATCCCTTTTTACTTAGCCTACGTGTAGACGTGTACCCTCCCCCGATGGTGAAACGGAACCGAGGGAACTCCTTGGTTCACCTTGGCAGGGGAGGGTACGGCTACACGAATGCTAAAATTACTCTAACTGTGCGTTTGAGCCCGCGTTATTGATCGCATACCTGTGACGTACCTATGACGTACTTTTCATCCCTGGTTCTTATTATTTTTTGGTTTCACAATGACCCCAATATTGTGACTCTTTTGAGGACTCTTTGGGAATGCTCCAAGCAGAAATGGAAGGTCAAAGGTTCTCAGGGCATGTACAGACCTTTTCCGCCCTGTATAGACTGACCTCTAGACTGTGATGACTTATTCAAGTTATGAGGGTATAAAGATTATGCCAACATTTTTGTAAATTTATCAAATGGTTTCCTTTAACTTTTAAAGGCTCTTTTCATTTCTCTTGACTCAGCATCTGAATTTACTCTTCTTGCCATAGTTCTCACCACCTTTTCATATGTGATACCAGCATGTTGCTTTTACTTTGATGAATGTCTCAATGAGGAGATTTCTGGGGGCATATTTTGACAGAGAAGAGAATAAATCAATATTCTGTTTTTTTTCAACAACATACTTCTTTGTCACTTTGACTTGGTGGTCAGTTGGATTGTAAGGATTGATGATCTTTTGATTGTTCATATCTTTATTAGTTTCTTTAATTGACTGGTCAGAATTGCTCAGGTCTATTGAGAAACTAATTTTTTATTAGTTTTTTATTGTGACAGCATTCTTTGCCATTTCTCATCACATCACATCACTCATGAATTCATGTCCAGGATCAACCTGAAGAACTTTTGGTCATCTCAGTGGTCCACACCTATAAGCCTTTGAGACCTCAGTAGAATTTTTTGAGGAGAGAGGTTCAGCAGCTGTGAATCTGTTTGCAACATCAACAACTGTCAATGCATAACTGAAGACTTTCTTACTTCTTGGGAGCCTCTCATGGGGAAGGAAATGAAGATCAGCTTGATGAACTGCATTTGGAGATTCAACATCAAAAGTTATTCTCCGGGTATACTTTGTGGCAGGCAAGTCTGTTTGATGGCTTGCCACATCAACCAAAGCTTTGCAACGTTCTCAGAAACTCTGGCTTCTTTAACCACCTTTTTCACAGCTAGCAATCTGATCCAAAAGTCTTTAGGACTAAAGTAGATACTTGAAAACTTTCTTTCTATTAGTACTTTGTGTTCACAAGAAACAACTGGTGGCCAATCCCAAAGCAAAGCCATTCCTCTGATGTAGATCATCTACCTTGCTTTTGTTGTGATTATGCACCTTGTTGTACAGCTTTAAAGCATAATCTGTGTCCAAAAAATTCTGTTTTGGCTGCTCCTTGACTCTGTCATTAGTTGCGATCCAATTGACAAGTTTTGTTCGGTTTTCTTGATACTTTTCATAAGCTGATTGGTACTCCTCCACAGCGAAATCACACCTCTTCTTCTCTTCTTCGGCACTATTCTGGTCTCCACTCAAATACTTTGCAAGATGGCTTCCACCAACAAAGGCAGTCGCATTGATGAGTGCTCCTCCAATCATTATTGTTATGCTTGCCATTTTATTTATCTGCATCATTATTTTCGCAAATTGATGACAATTATTCATCAAGAAACTTTTGACGAAGTTTTGCCTCTATATGCTGTTCCACAGTCTGGCCAAAGGCTTTACTGATATTGAATATTAAGACAGTCTCAATGATTTCACAGACTGTTGCTAACTTAATTACATTCATTGTAAATCAGCAGAACATTTTTAAGATTGTAAAATCTTTTTATGTTCAAGGTATTGTCTTACTGTGATTTTTGCAGCGAACTTCATGTAGCTCATGAGATTTGAACTCAGATCAGAAGTCATCAGCTCCTTGATGACTCTCTTTGCAACTCATCCAATTCCAGCAGCCAATCCAGTCAATGTAGCTGAATTGGTTAATGTTTTCACAAGCTTATTATCAAAAATTATATTTTGACAAACAAAATAAATCAATCCATTGGCTTTACTCTTACAGGAATCTGTGATCGTGAGGGTTGAGCATGTGTTTTTGGTTTATTGACAAGGGCCAAGCCTTTGGCCAAGGCGCAGAGCACCTTCAACTCTTTTCTTTTAGAGTACAGTCCAGCCTGTGAGAGAACTACACTTGCTACGGAAAGAATTTGAGTGGGTGAGAATGACGATGATGTTTCTAGTTTAGGTGTAATGCCTGTCCCTTTGGGGCTTGCCCCTCTGGGGCCTGGATCCATTGGATCTTCGTATTGCTTTGAGCTTCCTTTAATCTTCTTTTCCTCTCTCACTCTGCTGTTGTGTTCAGCAAGTTTTTTTCAGCTGCGACATGCCCTGGGTCTTTATTTGGTTTACTATAGTCTAGTTATTATCAGTTAAAGTCACTTGTTGAGCCTCTACGAGGCCTAGTAAGTAAGTAAGTAAAGCCTTTATTTAAAGAGGGTGGCACTTAATAGCCAAAGGCTAATAAACTTGTGGCCCTCACAACTATTTACAATCTAAAATACTGTAAGCTAAAATATATATATATATATACAGTTAAAATATAAAATATGACAGGATTCGATTATAAGATAAAAATAAATTATTAAATTATGAAATGATGCAAAAATTGTTGTTCCTTAAAAATCTTGGCAAACATGTTCTTTTTAAAACATGCTACAGAATTTAGTTTCCTAATTTCAATTGGTGTACTGTTCCACAGTCTTGTTGCCGAAACAGCGAAAGAGCGTCCTCCTTCTGTTTCTCTTTTATATTTAGGACAAACAGCATTAGTGCTTGAATATCTAGTGTTGCGGGAGTGCCGCTTATTATTTAAAATTAAGTGTTCATTTAGATAATTCGGCAAAGTCCCATTAATTCGCTTATACATTATTGTGCATTTATCAATCTTATGTTGCTCATAAAACGGGATCCAACCTAGCTTGTTAAACAAAGCAACTGATGGTGTCATGCGATCGGCATAACAAATAACGCGTGCCGCACGTTTTTGCAATCTTAAGACCCTATGAACCGACTCTTTATCGCAATTTGCCCAAACAACGTTAGCGTAAGACATAACAGGGCGAATAATGCTATTATAAAACTGAAGTCGCTGTTTAAGAGGTAGACACGCTCGGATCTTACGCAATATTGCGATTCTAGAGGCCAACTTTTTACATACTTTCTCAACATGTTCATTAAATGACAATTTGCTGTCAATTTCTACGCCTAATAAGGTAGCACAATCCACATTACTGAGCTGTTTTCCATTTACGATTACATCTATGTCACTTCTATTTATGTTGGCCACGCGTCTTTTGCCAGTGATCGTAAGTACTTTAGTCTTGTCTTCATTTAATGGGAGCTTATTCGCTGAAGCCCATAATTGAATTTCAGAGACAGACTTGTTTAGTGATGAATTTAAGGTGGCTAAGTCCTTCACATCCGCAGAAGCGGTGACAGTCGTATCGTCTGCGTAGAGGTCCAACTGAGCACTTGTATACAAGGGCAGATCGTTGATAAACAAAATGAAGAATAAAGGACCCAAAATACTGGAAGGCTAGCTGGTGCTTCATCAGTCTTATGTTCTTTGGCATCCATCTTTTTTTTTGATATATAATTTTAAATTCTTATTCAAGTTCTTATGCAAGTACTTGAATAAGTACCCTAAACGTCCATGTATAAGCCGCACTTTTTTCCACAAAATTGAAGCCAAAAATCAAGGGTGCAGCTTATCCGTGGACACATCTGTTTTTGGAGTTCTCAAAAAACTAATTAATATTCATGAAACTTCTTAAGATGCCAAGAAATAAACATAAAAGAAACTAAGAGCGTGTTGCTGTAGTTCATTGACTTTTTCATCGAGTGGTGGCTCCTAAAGGAGTCGTCTGTGTCTTCGAGTGTTTATCGGCGAATCTTGCTCTCCAAGGGTTCTTTCAAGCGATTAAGTTTTGCTTTACTCGAACAACTAAACACCAACATACAAGGAATCTCTCTTTGTTTTTTTACTACCTTCATGGCAAATTTGTCGATTGCATTATCAGGCTCCTGTTCTGCATGAAGTTTTTCGCCTATTACAGGTTTCCAAACATCTTTGTACACGCGTGATATCCCCGAACAGCTGAGTCGACGATGGCCAGGCCCTGGCCCAGAATCCTCGCACTCCAAATTAGTCTTACAATTCTTTATTAATCTTGCACTAATTTTTCAAGAATGCGTTTACATTTATTTATTTTTATTTGGTCTTGTACCTCTGGCTGGTAAAATCTGAAGGGGCTTATAAAATACTACCGGCTAGAGGTACAGCTTGCATATTTAGTCCACTTTGCCCAAATTTTATCACGGTTTGATTCAAATTTAACTTTTCTGCACTCTAAATTAGTCTCACACTCCTTGAAATAACTTTTTACAAGAGTACAATTACATTTATTTTTTTTATTTGGTCTTGTACCTCCAGCTGGTAGGATCTTTCGCTCTTTGAATCACTTTTTTCAAGAATACATATAAGAAAGATGGTTTTTGTCTTATCGTGAGCGTGGGACAAAGGAATCGAACCTCAAACCTTCGGATTCCGCGCTGCGATGCTCTACCACTGAGCCACAGAGACTCCACCGTGAGCGAGGTATATTACGAAGTTCATATGACACGCGTCCTGCATACTGCTAGGATCAGCAATTTCAATAGCATAATGTTTGTAGATAGAAATTAGAGAGATGGTAAGTTTTTAGTCAACTTTGCCCAATTTTTACCGAGATTTGCTCCACATTTTACTTTTCTGCGCTCTAAATTAGTCTTTGGAGGCATGAAGGTACCTAAAGCTGCGTTTCAAGATTTTATTGCGAAAAACAGATAATTTCAGCTAGTTTGCATCGTTTTGGCAGTTATTTTGACGAAAAATGGGTCAATCAAGCCAATTTGGTTTTTTTTGGCAGTTTTTAAGTTTTTTTTGCCAAATTTCACTGAGAACACTGCGTTTTAGCTGGATTTCAGTGTTTTCACAGAGATTGTATCCCTAATTTGCTGAAAACATCATGTTTTAGCTTGTTTGCAGCGTTTTTGAACATGAAATAAGCTAATAAGTTTTTGCAAATAAAAATAATAATAAACTGTTTTTCAGTTTGAATTGAGCGTTTTGTCAACTTTTGCGTTCAATTTGGCAAAAACTCGTGCGTTTCTGCCGGATTTTGGTGTTTTTAGACAGATTTCATCGCAATTTTACGAAATACCCGTAGTTTCAGCTAGTTTACAACTTTTTGGGCTCGAGACCGGCAAGAGTGATGGTAGACACTCTTGGCAGAGGTAATTGTGCAAGCAGATATTAAGAATTCACGTGTAAAGGCCATAAATCAACTAAAAAAAAAGAATAAGAAAACTCGATAAAAAAATAGAATAATAGCAAGGAAAAGAGAGGGCTGCAATAAAGACTATGTTCTTGTTCTTGAAGCTGACAATTAACAAGATTCCTGTAAATTAAGTTTACATGACAACCTAACAATTTTTGAAAATCATCAAAATCCCAAGCTGTATCCAGGGTAGGCGCAAGAATGTATTTTTTGTTTCATAGTTTCGTGTTAGGTGTTTTAGTTTTCCCTTTGTCAGTTACCAGTTTTTTCAGTGCTTGTAATATTTATTTGCATTTCGTATATATTCTGTTCGCGCGTAATTTATTTCGTTAGTTGTCTTTCCTAGTTTGCGGAACATATCGTCTAGTTGCTTCGGGTTTCATATTTTCGTCTTTTGGGTTTTTGGTCACATTCGTCTTGTAAGTTTCCTCGTTTATTTCGCTTTGTCGTTTTCCAGTACTTTTCACTTTAAACGTTGTAAGTTATTTTATGCTCCTTCGTGTGTTTGTAATTTTGTTATTTCAGTTACCGTGTTCAGCAATGTATTATGACAGCGCGTTCTACAGTTTGATTTTCTTAATTTGTTCAGTTGGATACGAGTTATTAGTTATATTACTAACGAGAAAATAACTTTTAAAGCAAATTGGGATTTTACCCTGGTGTTTGTTTTTTTTGTTATTTTTTATATACATACACTTGTATAAATAATGCTCCCCTGACTCTCCCCCAAATTTTTTAGAACAGATGCAAACTATGAAGAATGATCAAGCTTTTACATCTTGGTTTACCAAGTTATCGCAGAGCTTTTTTGGTACTTTGACCTGCTTAACACCCAAATCAAGTACATAATCTAATGCATCATTACTATCTTCAGGTATTCCTAGTTTACTTGTGAAAATCACACAAATCGTAAGCTATATACAGCATACATTCAAATTGCTAAATCAATCAGCGGCAAATTATTAGAAAGGAATGCAGTAATCTTTAATAAGATTACTAAGTAGCAAGGTAACAAATAGCCCAGTCAAAATGTGCCGGCAGCCGGGGATTTGGTTACCTACAACAAAATATCTGCTGCTTACTTCACATGCACTTGTTACACTTATAGTCTGAACGAAGTTCGGCCTCTGCTTCCTATTACTATGGCCAGCTTGCCTACTTCTCAAAAACATTTTGACTGAGCCGAAAAAATGTTTGAGAGAAAAATGGCCATAAAAAGCCAACTTACTGTAAAATAAGAAACATAAAAGTAACACTTCAAACTAAAACACAGTGTAAGCCTTGCAGGGTTTGGCTCTCAATAAAATTAGTTAAAATAGCAAATCTGGATTTTTACTGCTCACTCAAAATAGGCCGACAGCCTGCGATTTGGCCGCCTACAATGAAGTATCTTCCGCTGACTTCACACGCACTTTTCAGACTACTTTTCGGGAGGTTTGGCCTCTGCTGCCTATAATTACTACAGCCAGCTTGCCAACTACTTAACTGAAACATTTTGACTGGGCTGTACAAGTCTTACTAGCACATTCTAAGCACCTTCAGGTAGATTACGGCAAAGCAGACTTTGAACAAAAATGCTTTGCATTAAGTACATCATTACCGTCTTCAGGTATCTCTAGTTTACTTGTAAACATCCCACAAATCACAAGCCATATTACATCATACATTCAAGTTGACAAAGCAATCAGGGGAAAATTTTTTTATAATAGTATGCAATGATCTTCAGTATCAAGATTATTTGGTTGCTAAATATTAAAATGTTCGAGAGAAGAAATAACTGTAAAAATTTTTTCTATCTCGTCAGCATCGACTTCCAAAAATAATGGATAATGACCACTTAAAACAAAGAAGAAATAAATCATATTTGTGATCGCACAGGGCTTCAATATGACACAAGAACGCAGTTTTTATTTCCTTTTACTTATAAGTAGTAGAAATAGCTGAAATGGCCTTCATGTGAACACAATAGAATCCCCTGCGTGTATATCCATATAAAACTATTTATTTGGTGTCGAAATTACCTTCCAAACGTCATGATATTTGACTGAAACTCAGCTTGAAACTCAGGCCTTGAATCGTCATTCTTTCTTGGACCACGTGGCGGCCATCTTAAAACACAATGCCGACTAAAACGAGTAAGATACCTTTCCAGGCGAATAAGATATTTTTCGAATGGAATATCTACGTATAATCCATCTATGTATAAACTCTTATGTAGTGGAGACGTTGAAACTAATCCAGGATATGAGTCCTCTGAGAATTCGTCACTTCCAAGCTCGACACAAGGTCAGACTAGAAAGTGCAAACACCCATGTAAAATGTGCAGCAAGCCGGTAAGATGTAATCAGAAAGGAATACTCTGTGACAGCTGCGAGTCTTGGTTTCACTGCCGATGTATTGGAATGAGGAATGACAGTTATTAAGCACTTGCTTCTGGCGATGAAGAATGGTTATGCTCTGACTGTGCTTTACCTCGATTCTCTGACTCATTTTTTTCTAATATTTCACTGGAGGGAAATGTATCAATCTAGTCTGAGGTATCAATACCATCGAATGATGCTTGTTATAGAAAAAAGTCTTCGAACTCTCTACGTTTTCTTCTCATCAATGTCAGAAGTTTAAGAAAAAAAGTCCTTGACCTGCAGGCTTTATTTTTAGAGAATCATGTACCTATTGTTGTGATAACTGAAACATGGTTTGATGTTGGTTTCGTGGACTTCGAACTGAGTACTAAAGACTACTCTATACACTGCAGGGACAGGAAAGATCGAAGGGGAGGCGGTGTTCTCTTAGAAGTCCATAAAAGTGTAATTGGTATAAGGAGATCAGACTTGGAAATTAACGGCGCTGAAATTGTAATGGTTGAGATTTGTCAGAAATCTAAGGATAGTGTGCTATTTGGAGTTCGTTATAGACCTCCAAATGCCAAAATGGAATACTCTTCAATCCTACGACAATGCCTGGAAAGAATTGATGCCACAAGATTTTATACTTGCTACTTAGTTGGGGACTTTAATTTTCCATTATCGACTGAAATACTATATCTCCTATCTTAACTGACGCCCTTACTTTGAACTTTTGTTCTATGCTTAATGATCACTTTTTAGTGCAGTGTAATCATATTCCAACAAGAATTTCAAATGGAACTGGAAATGTATTGGACTTGATCTTGACCAGAACTCCTCAATGAATTAGTAACATTGAGGTTCTGCCTGATCATTTTGATTCTGACCATTTACCTGTGGTGTTCGACATCAAAATGCGATCTGAGCGTTCTCATGAGTCAGCTCCTAGACAGGTTTATAACTATAATAAAGCTAATTTCACTGAGCTGAATTGTTAAGGTACGTTCCATGAAATTGTGCATTCCTGCAGGAAGACGTGGCCGATACGGTCAAATACCTCTTGCTTGCTGCTGCAGATTTGTGCATCCCTCTATTCAAAGTGAAAAGAAGGACAAACCCTCCATGGATCAATAAGGAAATTTTGCGTTTGATTTTAAAGAAGAAAAGCCTGTGGCATCAATTGAAAGCTCAACCATCTGAATCTCTAAGCCAAAAGTTTAAGGACTCAAGAAGCAAAATTAAAAAGTTAATAAGACCAGAGTATCATAAATATCTGCAGCACTTTTCTAATCCAAAAGTTTAAGGACTCAAGAAGCAAAATTAAAAAGTTAATAAGACCAGAGTATCATAAATATCTGCAGCACCTTTCTGATGTCCTTAAGGAAAATTCAAAAATATTTTGGTCTTATCATTCCATAAAGACTAAGTCCAAAAGACTTCCAGACATCAGTACTTATGATGGAATTATTGCAACTAGGCCACAAGAACAAGCTAATCTGTGTAATATTCATTTTTAATCTGTCTTCTGTAAAGAAAGTTTAGGCACGCCTTCTATTTTGGTGCATAATATCCAGAATGATCAGTGTGCTAATCAATATACAGACTCTTATGTTATGTAATGCATGTGAAGTTCAAAGCATATTACAAAAGCTTGATGCCAACAATACTTCTGGGGTAGACAAAATTCCAGTCGACCTGTTGAAAGAAACAGCACATATATCTGCAGTCCCACTAAGTAGGCTTTACAATTTGTCTTTCAAGAAGAGTCAAGTTCCTAAATTATGGAAACATGCCAATGTTACTCCCATTCATAAGGATGGTGATCAAGAGCCAGTTGAACATTATAGAGGCATTTCACTATTAACCATCACAGGAAAGTGTCAAGAAAGATTAGTACATAATGAAATTTATGGACAAGTTATTGACTTTATTCATAATTCCCATCATGGATTCCTAAGGGGGAAATCTTGTACAACACAGCTTCTCTTGATACATCATGACTAGTCTAAAGCCCTTGATAACAGTGGACAAGTTGATGTGGTGTTTATCGATTTTTCTAAGGCCTTCAACCTTGTGAATCACACCATTCCTCAGACTAAGTTATACAAGTATGGAGCTCGTGGTAGTCATTTGGAATAGTGTAGAGATTATCTTACTGACCATCAGCAGAGAGTCATTGTAAAAGGGGAAGCATCTGATTGGCTAACAATTACCTCTGGCGTGCCTCAAGACTCCCTGTTGGGACCTTTATTTTTTATTATTTATATTAATGATTTGGCAGGGGGTTATCAGTAAGGATAGTTCAATTGCTTTATATGCTGATGATAGCAAATTATATAGGATTATTAATTCTCCAGAGGATATGTCATCTTTTCAGGGTGACCTGGACAAGATTTCTGATTGGTGTAAGGATAATAAAATGAAAATTAATACTAAGAAATATAAGATCATGAGAATCACTCGGAAAAAGAGTCCTCTGGTTAGGGATCATTACATAAATTGTTAAAGTTTGGAAAGTGTACATATATATGAGGACTTAGGTCTGCTTACTAGCTCTAATTTATCATGGAATTCACATATAGATTCTGTTACTGCTAGGGCTAATAAGGTTCTTGGTTTCGTGAAAAGAACGTGTATGGATCTTAAGGATATTACTACATTAAGAACATTGTACCGAAGTCTTGTTGAACCACTGCTTGAGTATTCATGAGAGACCTGGAATCCTCACACTCAACGTAATATTAATAGAATAGAGACAATTCAGAGGAGGGTAACTAAGTTTATCCTAAAGTCTAACAAGGATTATAATATTAGATTAACACAATTAGATTTACAAAGTTTATGTAATAGGAGATTTATTAAGGATGTGGTATTTTTACTTAATTGAATCTACAATATAGATATTTCCGGATAAGTTGCTATTCTGTAAAGAACGTAATGTAGAGTATGATTTAAGAAAAAATTACTCTCTTCACCTTGTTAGTAGTTAAAGTAGAACTATTGGTTTTGAATATAGTTATTTTATCTGCATTATTAATGAATGGAATAGCCTACCCAGTGGTATAAAAGAATCTGTTAGTATTTCTAGTCTTAAGCGTAAGGTTATATCATTTCTTGGTAATTCTTAGTTCTACTCTTACAGTGGACTATATTGTACAATTTTAGCTTTTTTTAATTTTAGATTTAGATTTATTTTATACTGTTTTATATATATTTTTTAAATTTTATACTATAGATAATTTCTTTATCATATTTTACTTACTGGGGTGCATCCCTCGTATGATATCTGATGTGCTTTTTAGATGCTTCCCTCTCCACCTTTATTCTAAATTTAATGTTATAATTTTATGGTTTGGAGAAAACTGTAATAAAATTTTGTTTAGACTTCGAAGCTTGCTGCTTTCTCACCACCGTTTCAATGCTTTTCTTGTTATTTAAAAGGTGGTAGAGCCATTGTAGATAGTGAGCTTTTTTACTTAAGAACCAGATCATAACACCTAAGCCTTTTCACCCTAAAGTACTCAACTACTAAAATTTCCTTCACTGCTGTAAGCCGCCATTTTATCTTTCCTGTAAACTTGTTCTCAGGCTTCAAGTCCTAAAGGTCTCAAACCTTGAAGTTATGCTTACGTTATTGCCTCGAGATCATGTTGAGGCCCGACCCTAAATCAAAAAATGTACGTCTCCAGTGTGTGATTAAGTGTGGTAGCAAAGTTTCATGCATTTACCATCAATGTGAACAATTTTGTTCAATAATCGCTAGAACATTGGGAGGATAAAGAGCCATTCTTTTCCTACGCATGGATTTGGTAGAAAGCAAGGAAAAAGCAAGACTGGCCATTGGTCATTGAGAGGATAATCGAGCGGGTTAGTATTATGGAAGAAAACTCAGAAAAAACTGATCGGGTGAGTTTTACATGTAACATATCATAGGGGTAGTAGGCCTCCATGTCAGAGAGTTCAAACTTCCCCTTTCATACCTTTTCACTGGGGTACTCGATTGGGTTTGAGCAAGTACACCAGCAGTTTCCCAACTCAAAACCGTGAGAAACTGCTTTATTGATTTATATCAATCTGGCCAACGTTGGCTCAAACTCTACTGAAGTCTGAAGCTCAGATAAATTTACATTTTTTTAATCTTTACCAATACTTTCCTCCCATAACTTCAATGGGAAAAATCGTCTCTTTTTCAAGGCCTTGGTTAATGGTGGGTGAGTGGTTTTTTCTGAGGGAGTTTGGGCTTGAACTGATATATTACAATGACTGGCGACTGAACTTAAACTATTCCCGATTAATTTTGGGCGATTTTTATCTACCAGCGAATAAGTCATTAGTTTTCTCTTTTTTTTTCTTTATTCATAAGAAGATTTAGCGCTGAAGTTTTCAAATTTCCACAGGTATAGTTTCATAGTCTCCCTGAAATCGAAAGTGATATACATTGCCTGTGTGTTTTTGGTTGGAAATCACGTGGGTGATCTTTTCTCATTGGCTAAATAGGATAGAACACTCTTACAGCCTTCGCATCTGAACTCCCTTTTTCACGATTTCAAGATGAAAACAGTTCGTTATATAACCTTGTGCTTTATTGTATTGTTGATGGTGCTCCAGGGTAAGCAAACATTCATAATTTGTTTCGAAATTTCTCTCAATTAGAAGGACTCAAGATCTTACTCAAGCAATTACAACGCTGACTCGAGCGGTATGACTTTCGGCTAAGTCACAAATCGATTTTGGTATATCTTTTGCTCTTTTCAGCGGCAGGCGATAAAAATCAGAGCACCACAGGAGGAGATCAACATGACTCGCATCAATGTGGTGAGTGATGCACTTGTAATAAACTTTATTTCAACTTAGATTATATTTAGATGACAACATCAAAACAGTTTGTTGAATCAACATTATTTCCAAAGTTGTTACATGATGCCAGTTGTAGGTCTAAGATGTTCCACAATCTGAACACTTACATTTGAAAAGAATGCTCTCTGAAAGAATTGCAGTGTGTACACCTTCTGACTGCAGTTTTCTTTTTGCCTCTCAAGTCCATTGGTGTTAATTAGACCTAGGTGTGAGCAGTACTTGTATATGACAGAGCTCTAACCCAACTTGATTTTCTGGCAAAGAGTGTGACACCACAGGCATCACCTACTGAAAGGGGGAGGGGGAAAGAAGATGGGATACGAGGGCATGCTCAGCTAAATATTAGTGAAGCTAAGATGTGCATTCCTTTATTCTGTATGAGAATTTCCACTTGTGGAAAGTGTTCAAAGCAAGTAGGAATGGAACAAGGAGTAAATTATAATTAGAAGGTTAATTAGTTCTATAGGCACTTACTGGTAACTAAAGTAGTAGATTGCTATCTCAAAATCAACTGTTTTAATCAGAAACCTTAAATGGGTGAGAAATGTGAGTGTGAGAGCATAAGATTGAATTTTTTCGAGTGTCTCAGTCTCACAATCAATAAATAAGACTTGGAGCTCTGATGTAGGTACTCTGTGGTCTCTTGAAAGGACTCAATATGAGTAAGTAGACAAAGACTTTGGAAAATAGTTGATTTACCTGCCACTGAAAAATTGTTTGCATGATCTCTTTCTAATTTTTTTTATGGCTTGTGGGGTTGAAAGTTAGTATAATTATTGTGACCTTAGTAAAAGGTTGATAATATTTATCACTCCACTATTGAGTTTAGATGGACTTCAAAATACTGCATTTGAAATTATCTCAATAGTCAGGTATATTGAGAGGATACTATATTCTAACAAATTAATTTAGCAGGAATGTGGATTATTTAAAAAGGATTGATGAAATTATATTTTTTAAAAAAAATATGTATTTTTTTTATCTTCTTTAGTTTCAAAAGAACACATCTATGTCAAAGAGGGGGAATCAGCCCTAATGGTTTGGGGGAGAACATCTGGTGGTGAAGAGCTACGTGGCAACCGCCTTGTGGTAAATTCACAAGTCATTGCATACTTGCCCAGAAATTCCTTAAACATGAGTTGCAGCCCATTTATAAAAAATTCAAGTCTGGAGGAACTCTGCCACAAGAGATTAGAATTCTTCAGCAACACAACTACTATTCTTGTAAAGTTAAGAAATCTCTCAAGTGATGAACATTGGAATTTCACTCTGACACATGTGTTGGGGAGCTCATCACCATGTAATCCTCAAGACATCAAAATTGTGAGAGGTATGTGACTGAAAATTTAGTGGAAAGTGATGATAACAGCCTTGATTATGAATTAAAGACATAAATTTGTTCTATGGATGGTCATGCAATATCAGCATGTATACTCATTATTGAGTTAAGTAAAAGATGAGAGCTAAAGAGAAAAACCTGGTCCACCCTGATGCCAGCTAATTTTCTATAAAAATGTGCTTCTACAGAAGAGTATGACTGTTTTTTCTATCTCTTCACCTCTGCTTTTTTCCATGAAAATTTGATTATAATGAAGTGCAGTTGGAAGATCCAAAAGGGTCAGATGTCAGGAAGCAAACAAGTCTGCTTCCCAAAATAGATTACTTTAGATTATTTGCAGATCACAATGTACAAAATCTTGACACTTTTCCACCTTAACTGAGTTTGTTTATTATTTGCTTGTTTCTTTGATTTTTCTTGCAGTCATTGCACCTTCCCCTGTAGTGTTAAGTACTGTATCAGCAGTTGCTAACAATACTGTCAGGAAACTGATCTCAGGTATGCTAAAATTTTTTTGTTTCAAAATCATCACTTAATATCGTGAGTGATCATCATATGGGCTCTCCTCACAATTTTAAAAAAGGGGTAATGGCATACTGATAACTTTTATTCTCATGACAAACAAAGTAAAGCCTCGTAAGGAAACAAGAGTCAGCAAATTTTTGTATTTTCTTATTTCCCTCCACTCCAGTATTTCTAAATAATTTGTATAATTATTTTAAATAAGTTATCTATGAGAAAAAAGTTTGGCCTTAACTTCAAGTAATCAGAGAAGAGAGGATAGGGGCACATCTAGGAGGTAGTGCTTATTAATTATCAATGGCAAAGGGGAGAAATAGTGAAAAAGAAATACAGTTGTGATTACCAGCATTTTTTGATAATCCAGACTTGCCCCTCATGGTCCCATTTTTTTCTTGAATATTAATTGGTCACACTGGAGATCTGTAACCACATTTTTCCCATCAAACAAAGCAGTTGTGCTGTAACAATTTGACTCTATTCTTTAAATTAGTCCAACTTCAAAGAATGATAGAATTAGTTAGTGTAATTGACAGGATTATTAAGGATTACTCTCTAAGGTTTAAAGTCCTCTTTGTTATCTGTTGTATGGAAATTTGCATAGTTATTTAACTAGTAATTGCATAGGGTTAGTTTATGATCAATTTCTTTCCTCTTGTTTAACAGAAACAACAGTTTCAGTGAGGCCTATGTCTTCAAGTGCTCACATCAACAGTCCATCTTGTAGCTCAACAACCTTAGGTAGAGTTTATTGAAAAACATTAATCTAGGCATTGGGTTAGATAACAAGCCTGCATGCTATCAGTACCCTTTGAATTATCCACTTAGAATGTTTAATCTTTTCCATGTAAGTGAATTTTTTTTGTGATTGTTGTTTTTTTTTTCTTACAGTAATTCCATCCCCAATCAGTACAACAGTAGCTGGTACCTCTTTAAGAGGTCAAAAGACTATCAGGCCACCAACTACAGGTATGGCAAAATTGTGTTAAGTGGGTTTAATCTTCATTACAACCTCTGACTACTAACTAAAGAGAGATAATTGTCAATGAATGCATTTCAGGATTTCATTCAGTTTTATGGCAGTAACTCAGACAGAGAGGTGATGAAAATAGTTGCTTGAGAAATTATCAACCTGAGAATTTTGAATGATGACTCACAAGAAACATGTGGGAGATGGGATGGCTTGTCAATGGTTAGAGCCTGATTGGTCATTGTGTTGTGTTCTTGGGAAATTTTCCCAAGAACACAAAACACTTTACTCTCGTGGTATTTACTGGTAATGTCTCCATCCATCCAGGTCTATAAATGGGCACATTCAAACCTTGATTATCCAGTCCTTGATAATGCAGATTTTTGGATAATCCAGACTTGGTTCTCATGGTCCCATTTTTTCATGAATATTAATTGGTCACATTGAAGATCTGTAACCACTTTTCAAATAAAACAAAAAAGTTGTGCTGAAACAATTTGATGCTATTTTATAAATTAATGCAGCTTCAAAGAATGATAGAATTAGTTAGTTTGTGAAATTAACAGATTTTTAGGGGTTACTCTTAAAGGTTTTAAGCCCTCTTTGTTATCTGTTGTACGAACATGTGCATATTTAACTAAAAACCTCAAAAGTTATTGATTTTATTTCTTGAATATATCTAATCAATTATTTTCTCCTGTTTAACAGAAACAACAGTTTCAGTGAGGCCTACGTCTCCTAGTGCTCACATTACTTCTCTGTCTGGTAGCCTAACTACCTCAGGTGCAGAATTTTTTGTAAAATTGATCTAGTCATTAGGTTAAATAACAGGCCTGTCATTGATAATCCAGATTTTTCAGTCATTGGCATTTTTCAATTATCTGGGACTGGCCTCTTTTGTCCCCTTTTTTTTATAGATATGAATAAGTCATTGCAATGGAATAGCATTTTATCCAGGGGATGATCCAGTAGTTGTGCCATTATACTCCAAGTCACTCCATGCTAAGGAAATGGGGATAAGCTCCAGCTGGAATTATGGGCCACTGGCTCAAGTACAGACTTTACCTTTTTTTAACTCAAAATAAATTAATACTAAATTCTCAGGGCTTATAATTGTGTGAACCAACAAGGAAATGTTGGTCTTCAAGTGAAAGAAAATCAAAATTCAGATCTTAGAAAAGTACACTTGAAGATTCTTAGGGGATACCCTTAAATTTTTTAAGTCCTGTCTTAAGACTGGTGAACAGTTGCAAACTTGATTTGAAACCCCAAAAATGTTAGACTTTTTTCATGACTGTTTCAATTTTTTTCTTTTTTGGGGCAGTTGTACCATCTGTAGTCAACGCTGTGTCTCCTGATGGTCAAGGCAAGTCTGACAACCCACCAACCAGAGGTAAGAAAGGGTTCAATGTAAAATTGATGGTTTTTAGTTCTGGTAAAATTGAATTAATTTTTTTTGCGATATACTTTTAATCATTTTGAACTCAACTCAGGTCAGAGCATTTGAAATTTTTTTGCTGCTAAATCCCTGGTTACATTTAAAAGCTTAAGAATCAAGCCAGCTAGTTGTGTAGTTTTCGCACCCCTCGTTTAATTATCATAGTTCCCTTTGCTAGAATTTTAAATCTGGAGGAGAATTGTTCTTAAGTGTAATGGGTTGATCAATTTGAAGCTTTAAACATCCCTATGCCCGTCCTTCCCCCAAGCAACCCCCCTGGCATTTGAACTTTTAAAGATTGCTTTGTTAAAATTCCTGTCCATTGGGACCAAAATTGCACTCAAATGCCCTACCTGTGTATCAATGTTGTTTTTAAAGGCAATATTGGCCATATTATTGATCAAGTGCCAGATTTGATGGTCAAATTGTTGTAAAAGGATTGATTGGCCACAAGTAACCAAACTTTAAAAGCTAGACCTTTAGTTCTCAGCCATTCAACTGCAAAAGTGAACTCTTTACCTTAAAACACCCCACATTATAGATACAACACTTGTATTCTGCTAGAAAGACTTTTCCAATTCAAATTCCCCAATCTAATCATGCAATGCTTAAATTCCCCACCCCCTTCAGGCAAGTCTCTATGGGATGGGAAGTTGAGACTTTGCAAGGGGAACAAAGCCAGAAAAGCAGCAAAGCACATACCAAAAAACACATGGCAATATGTCCACACTAACCTCCCTTACGCCCACTCATCATATTGGTGAAAGCACCAGACTAATATGGTTTTAACCCGCTTACTTCACTTGCATCCGGCACCATTAAAACAAGTGTAGACATCCATAACATGTGTTTTTAATTTTCTCAGTAAAGGGTGGTTGAATTTTAACAAATAAAAAACCTTCTCTATCAGTTATCTTTGATAGATGTACTATAAAATAAAAATAGCAGAAAAGATTTAAACCCTCTCTTTCATCTCTTTATAGGTAACAAAGCTTTGATGGCATTCATTGCTGCATTGATTGTGACCATTGTACTTTGGGGTGGAATTACTTGGTTTTCTTTGTGGAAAAAACGACAAGAAAATGACCTTTTAATTGCATAACAGTTAATAATATGGTCTAATATGATATGGACCAATTGGTAAGGGTTTTTTTTTCCTGGGGTAAAGTGATAAGTAGACAAGTCTTGTCAGGGGTATCGGAAAAAATGCATATGAGATACTGTCTGACATGCGTTATTTTGCTATTATGCTTACAGTAATTCTGTGAAGACTTTTACATGTAATCAACACTTCATTTTTCTGTTTAAAGCTGACATTTCTACTTTTATATGTAATTGCAAACGTTTGGGTTGGGAAATTAACTAGCTAGCAAACATGCAGATGTAACCTGGGCTTTTTTAACTATCATCCAGTTTTTTAGGTATTTCAGTTATTTCTAACAGTCATCAATCCTTTTATTTTGTTTTTTCTTTCTGTTTGAATATCGTCTTTCTCTCTTTATCATTTTATTTATTTATTTATTGTTATTATTATTTATTTGCCCAAACCACCAGCCAACTTTCACTAAAGAGATGTATAATAGAAAATAGAATATTTTATGAAAATGGCCTTCCCTATAATTACATCAGGGAACGATGTAATTATACCTCTTTCCATAAGATCGCCAAGAGTAGCTCTTCTAATATGTAGCCCAGGGCTAATATTTTTTTAAGATAACAAATAAATAATACAAAGTAAATAATAAAATTAATTATACAAATAAGACTTGTAGAAATGCAAATAAATTTTCCTGCATAGGACTTAGAGCAATTTTCAATGAACTGTCAATAGTGCTACTTTCCCAAAAAGCTAGATGATCACAAAATAAAATCAGGGAGTAGTTTATCACTACTGGTCCCTTTGGTAAAGTCATACGCATTTTCCAACACCGAAGTCGATCGATCTTACACAATTTTAAAACCCTCTATGAGTTCTACTAGGCTACTTGTGATACTATCCTGTGTTTTGATCGTCCGGAGTGAGATCTTGACTTGCTGTTTTTACGACATTCCATGGAGAAGCGCTCTAAGAGGTTCTTAAATTTAAAGTTTTTTTTTTCTGGCGTGTTTTTTAGCATTGATTTCAGTCGCTTTGTACTTAACATTTAAGAAAAGAGAGAAATAGAGTAATAGAGATATAGAAACCGCTTAATTACATAGATGGCCAGCATTGTGCCGGCGTCAGCCCTCGGCTGTAAAGTGATATATAAGGATTAAAGGTTATTGTATTACTATTTGCGACGAAACGATTTGTCAACAGCCAAATCTTTTTGTCTTTGATACTTGTGAATAAAGTGGAATCATATTTTTATGCGGTTGTCACTGGTTTAAACTTTTTCCTTAAGGTTGGTCTGTTAAAGGAAATCTCAGTCGTAAGTCTATGGCTTGCATAACTGTATAAGGTTTGGGTGGGCCTTCAAACAGGTGTTGGTGAGGGATTGAGAGATTGTCCAATAGGTAAACTACAAGCAATCCCTCATTTTGGGCGAATTCTGTCGCGCGAGTCAAAACTAAATTAGCGAAAAAAAAAATGACATTTAAATAACACACGGAACTCTGAGTAAGGTGTACGTATTAAATTGTTGCGTGTCGTCAGTGAATTTTTTTCAGGTCACAAGTGAATTACCGCGGGTGGTGAAGTAAAAACAACTTATCCATTAAATCACAGGATAATTTAAACCACTGCAATTACATATTTTTATAGTGTAAGGCTTGAAAAGGCTTATAAATCCATGTTGTTAACTGGGAGGAACAGTGGGGCCAAAAGAAGAACAGTTGAACGTCTAAGTGGGTGGGAAACAGAATCCGAGACGCTGAGGCTCTATTCACTTAAAGGAAAGAGGTTGGTGGCCGTTGAAGGGAGATGGCTACAAGTAGGTGTATCCGCAAGGAGAAAAAAGCAGTGCAATGGAGAGTTCGCTGTTGCGACACAAAGGAGTTCATTACCCACTGCTATACTGTACACTAGCCTCTTTAAAGTTTTAGCAATTAATTTACATGTAATTTGTTTTACTATCTGAGATAAGGATAAGCTGTCTATAAACAGTTTCAACACAGATGTCCACTTTAGTTCATATCCCGCCACTTTCACACGTCGCGTGATAATTAGTATTTTACCAGCGACCCGTGACCTGCCAGATAATAGCACTTATCAGTGTTGAAAGAAGAGATAACCTAAACTTCATTCATTCAGAGTGCGATGGTATGATCCCGTGAAATTTTATAAAAACTAGACGCATATTTGCATTCACACAGGCTTTCTGTCGAAAAGAAACTTTTTTTGTGCTCAAATTTTTCAACGTTTTTTATGCACGTAGTGGTCTATCCTGTATGTTTTTTCTGTCTTGGTATGCCAGAGATGCAGGTTTCTCACATATGTAAACAAAGAGCTAAAAACAGCATTTGTTAGGTAGTGTGAAGATCCTTTTCTGGGATCGGGTGGGGGGATGCAGTGCCAGATATTATTGGCTATTTCAATACTTATTACCAGACACTTTAGTTTTGACTTGATTAAATTTTGTTTTGCGAGTTAAGGGGTTGTAGCGGGGTGAGTCATTTGCCAAATAGGCTGTCTTTTTATGTTTTCTTTTTCTTGGTTAACAAAAGATTCCAGGCTGAGATAGCTTTTAATTATAAACAGCCCCAAGTGCTTGGGTGATGACATTTAACCCAAGCAAGAAAACCAATCTTTTTTTTTCTTATCACCAAAAGAAAACAAAAAGTCACTACCAAAGCTCATTAGCAGATGAAGTAATAATTTTATGAGGTTGTTAGAGTGGTTCTCATGAACCTGTGAAATACACTTAAACATATTTTTTACTATTACCCTTCAATTTGTTTGTTTCCATTCGGAGTTAGTAAAGAGAGTGGTGCAGCACAGCACAACCTAGATTGAAGTTTGTGGTTTCATTCACCCTGTTTTGAGAAACCA